TCACTATTGGGGTGATCCATGTAGCCAGGAAAAGCAATCTGAAGATCCCCTTGATGAAATGCCTCAGACTTGGCTCACTTTTTAACATATTTTATGTGTTTTTAAGCATCACAAAAACTAGGCTGTTGTGGAGTGGTTTTGGTGGGATTTTTAGCCTGCACCAGGAGTGGTTTAGCCAATTAATTACCTCAAAACAAGTTTTAAAATTAAAACACAGATAAATTTCCAGTGCATTCTCCTTCCTGTCTTTCATGGGCTTCATTTTATTCACTATAAAGATGACAGATTCACTTTCCTACTTGAAAAAGATGTTTCACTCTCATCTGATTCTAAAATTGTGGTGACCTTGGATTCAGTGTGCATGTAGCATTGTCAAGAAAAATAATAATGCACGGAAGATCTCCAGACAGAGATGACTAGATCTGAAAATACTGTGAGGGAGGGAGGGTGGCCTGGAAGTGCTTCCTTCATTCATTCACCCAGTAAAATCTGTCTTGATTGGGGACAGGGTATTTTGACATGAGTCTAAGAAAATATGACCTCTGTGCCTTATAAATCTGCACAACCAATCTCTTCAAAAGACCATACCTCTCTCACCAGAAAATACTGCTAAAAGACAGTCTCTACAGATATGAAGACTTTCTTATAGATTGACCATTGAAAATGAAATTTTCTGCTAATAAATAAATAAAGCCTTGACACTCTGAAAAAGATGATATAGCAGTGTAAGTCATTTGTATGTCTTGGATTTCACTGCTAGTACATTTGCACTATTTCCTGTAACCCAAGAGCTTGTAGAAACCATACTCTGCCATTAACAAATGCATCACATTTTCAGCAATTACTGCTGAACATATGCAAGGGGAGGAAATAAAAGGAAAAAAAAGGGGGCCACAAAGCTTGTCACATAGGACAGCTGAGCAAAGAAGGGAGTTGTGACACTTTTAAAGCATCAAAATGATGATTCATTTCTCGAAACAAGACAGCTGGCTTCTCCTTTGCTGTGCTCATTAGGAGACACATGTCACTTAGGAATTCTTAAACCCTCACTGATGAGAAATTTGATTCTGTAAAGCAGGTGTATTTCCAACTCTGAGGACCTTTGTTATTGCTCAGAATCTTTTCTAATTGCTTCAGAATCTTAAGTGGAATTAGAATAAGCCAGTGGCATAACTGTTCCCTTCTCCTACCCAAATACATAACCTAAAAGAGTCTCCAGGGAACCTGCTGCAATACCTGATAAAAACATACACATGAAAGGATTTTTTTCAATTGTAATAACAGGGAAAGACTGCCAAAATGTAATGCATAATGAAATGTAACTGCAGCAGCTACTGGGAGAGTGAAACCAACTCATCCCACCGTGTTTCCATTCTGGACAAATATTAGTTTTTGAGAGTATGACGCTGGCCGTGAGTCACCAGAGTAAAAAGTAACAGCTCCCCCAAAACCTCGCTCGTAGGCTTCCTTGTGCATGGGTGGACCCGAGGCCCCACTGCACATTAGAACTGCTGTGCTCAGGTCTCGGCCCACACAGACTAGGGTTTCTGTGACAGGGAGATATCGCCATTATTTAAAAGTGCTCTCGATGGTTCTACTACACCGCCAGGGTGAGAGCCACCAAGTGCTGGGAAGAGCATGGGCCTTGGGATCCGTGGGTGACCGTGGGGCTCATAGTTGTGCCACTCTGGGAAAGGCACTTTCCTCTTAAACCTCAGCCCTCTTATCTATTAAATGATGAGTCCAAGCAAAGAGCTGATGGGAGGACTAATGTCAGATGAGAGGAACTTACCCCAAGGCACCATTCCTGTTACACTAACTCTCATAGAGGATTGTACTCTTCTGTTCACCCACCTTATTCTTTCTTTCTTCTCTTGAGGCCTCAGCTCTTTTGGGTATGGATTGTCCCCATCCTTACCGCTTTATCTTGCTCCTCTCTGCATCCTCTGGCATAATTCCTACAAAGAAGGATCTCAACTTGTGTTGCAGGAGAAAACATTAAGTCAAAGTACATTTGAAACACAGCTGTCTTAGCATTGCTGCATAATATGCCACAAAAATAAAGTCATGAAAACAGCCTAGCATTTGGAATGCAGTATCACAAAGAGGTACCAGAACAAGCACAGACAGCCTTTGGAGACGCACATGGATCATTTCCGCTTCAACAGCCACATCCGGTATCAAGAACAGGAGACCAGGAGAAGCACCCAGGGACAGAGGGGGGAATTAACAGTTAATGGCAAGGGAGGCCATCTCGCCCGTGTGACAGTCTACCAGGACTAAAATGGCGGCTCCTGCTCTGGCCTGAGAAGGAAAGGAGGTAGTGAATGAGATCATGGATTTGCAAAATGCCTGAGGACAGTGGCTGCTTTACAGTCAGTGGAACAGGATGGCAGAATAAGGACTCCTGAGAAAATAGCAGGGATCTTTATGAGAGTATTTTCAAGGGGACAGGATGCAGTCTCTGTAGCTTGTGGCTTTTTAAATAGTATCACAGGTGTCGAACTGAAGAATAGTCTTTCTGGATGCCCAATAAATTCACCACCTCGTGTCCACAGTAATAAATCTTGAATATCCATTTTAAATATGAAAACAACCATATGTGTCTGATATTTGGATGTAAATGCTTTTGTTTGCAGATTCACATGAAGGCCGAGGTTTCCTCCATGCCCAGACCCTCCAGACAAGGGTCACCTCTGCCCAGTCCTTCCTCTATGTCTCACTGGAGTTCTGTTTAAATTGGTTCAAAAAATACAGCATCTATGAATATAATTTGTCTTATTCCTCTTTGGAAATTCTTCTGCCCTCTGTCTTTGATTTGGGGCAGATTTCATTTTTATAAGTTATTTATTGACCTTTTTCCTGCTTTCTACTTTAATAGGTGAGTCCAGTTAGTAGGCTTAAGTTTTCTTCACACAGTGAACCAGGGATTTTAGACCCTACCTTGTAGGTATCAGGAACATCCTTTTAATGCTTAAACAGTCAATTGTTTATTCCTTCTTTCACTCACAACAATAGAAACCTTAAAGTATGCAATAACTTCCTTTTCGTCTTACTTTGGATACAATTTACTATCTCTACAAAAAAAAAGTGACTTCTGCATTGTAGTGAGTATAAGACTGAGGATTCATTAAAGGTTTAGATGCTAGAAGGATAAATGCTTTTGTAATTTGCTTTGTATTAGTACAAAAATATATATCCAGAATACTACATTTCATGGGTATTACTTAAAAGAACATATTATGTAGTCAAATTTAAAACCTTTAAAACGTGAGAAAATCTGGAGAAAAATTAAAAGTAAGCTATATAAATGCATAGGTGGTATGTGGACATAGCAAAAATTATGCAGTTGGTATACGGATGGCCAAACTTTGGAAAACTCTATGTAGACTACTCATAATACTAAGTCTGTGCATTGACTTTTCTTCTGTTTGGCTCCTTCACTCTGCCCCACATGACTTAGGTATCCCTGTCTACGAGCTTGGTGATATGGAAAATTAGTACTAAGTTTTAAAATATTTAACAAAATACCTTCCACAACTCTAGAAGAACAATGTTTTAATGGTCATAGTTATCTCTTTTATAAAATCCCAAAATGTGGATTGTGACAGAAGTGTAGAAATAAGTTAAAATGTTTAGGATTGTAATTAATGTGTATTTGAAGTACTTTGAGGTACAAAAGGCTTCAAGTAAACAGATGGGCATGCACAAGATATGCACACACAGGGGCAGGCTGAAAGCTGTTTAGTGCACTCTGTGTAGCACAGAGAAAAGCTAGAGGTAATCCACGGGCCCTCCATGGGCCAGTGTCAGCGTCAGCATGTGAGAATGGATGGCCATCATGGGTACCATGACAGATGGGTTCCTTAAAAACAAAAACTGGGTGAAAACAAGAAGTCAGAGAGTATTGTGTAACAGATAAAACTATCAGTGGTATTTGCTTAAAATATTCAGAATCATTTAGTGTTTATGATTCCACATATGCCACAAAGATACAAAAGTATGGACTGAACGATTAATGCAAATCCATGAAAGCGCCCCCACCCTGGGATGGGAATAGAGAAAAACTATAGAGCCTTTCTTCTTTGATTGTAAATTTTTAGATTACTTTCATCTTGAGTGCTTGGTACTTAACGAAGGTTTGTCCCATTTTGTTTACTGTGTTTTTAAAATGAAAAGAAAGGCGAGATAAGCAAGGGGCAAAAATGTCCAGAGTGTAATGGTGAATATCCTTTTACAAAAATGCCCTTGAGTCTGGGGAGGATGGAGTTGTGTATCTGTCAATGGCTGTGTTCAATTGAAGAAGTAGGTGGTTCTTGGTGAGCTTGGGAAAGGCTACAGGAAAGCAGAATGCTGAGACTCCTCTGGAGTCCAGTTAGTGATAGGATTCCTTCCTAAAGTATTCTCCCTCAAATTATGTTTTCTGAAAACACTCTGTGTATGACCCATACAAATCCTACTTTGAGATTTCTGACCAGAACATCTCCTGTCAGACGCATCTAAGCTGCTGCAGTCCCCTCCTGGACAACAGCGCCTTCTCTGTCAGGAGCCCGACATAAAAATGGTGTGAGCCTGGAGTGCCTCACAGTTCTCCCTATGACTCTGGACTCCCCCTGCCGCCTACAAAAAGAAAACAAGTAATGTCTGAAATAAGGGGAGTCTTGGATGACCGTGTCCCCTAACATATCTGATGTCTGACATCACACAATTTTTTTTTTGTATACCAGAACTTTTTCTCAGCTGGGAGTTCTTTCCTTGAAAATTAGCATTGTTTCACATTAATTGTAAAGATCATGATGAAATGTTCTGGATTTCTAAAAGACCTAAAGGCACTGGGAAGTGCTGACAGTATATTATTATGCCAATATCCTAACCGGAAGCAGCCCCAGGTGCCAGCAGACACATCGTGGTCACCAGGAAGCAAGCAGTCCCCCTGGGCCAGTGGCCATGCAGCACCTGTCAAACTTCCTACAAAATGTCCCTCCTGCTTTCCTTGACAGGGTGAAACTAGACTCCCAGTATTTCCAGAGTCTGTTGGCCCTCAAGGACAAAAAGGAGAACCTGTAAGTATTTGAGATTTGAGGGCAGAGAAACACTGTCCCCAAAACAGAATTAAACTACTTTTCCAAGTGAGCCCCATTTCCATACGCCGTGGTCGGCCCCGTCGTGGTGCACACCAGGTCACATGTGTAAGTGTTCGCTGTGCCCAGCACCTTTACCTGCATTAGCTTTAATCCAGTAAGAATTCTCGGGACATTCTCAGTCCTAGGCTTCAGAGGAGAAAAGCGAGAGACAGAGAACTTCAGAAGCAGCTTGGCCAGGGTTGCACAGCTCGTGCATCTGAGCCACGCCTCTTACCTCGGAGGGCTGCTCTGGGTTCACCTTCTGAAGTTATTCTCCGTTTTGGTTTTTGTAAGGTCAGAGTGACTTCCTAGGCCACTCTTCAATAATGGTAGGCCACATTGCTTGTAAAACTTAGCTCTTTTGGTATAGAAAAAGAAAAATACCCTATCATTTATATTCAACTAGGGCTACCTAAAGAGAGTAAGAAAGCCTACTTACAAAAAAAAACAAAACAAAACAGCCTTTAAAGAATCAGGCTTAGCATATATTTCATCTCTGGTTTTTGTTTTTTTTTTTAATTCAATGGATCTTTTTAAGTCACTTTTACCTATTTCCTTGCCAGTGTGAATTAGGGATATTGGTTTACCAGGGAATAAAGACTGAAGAGGTAGGTCACTGGTGCTTGAACCACAGACACAAATAAAGGTGAAAGTGAATGTCTCACAGTCGGACTCTTCCCCTCCGCTTCAAGGCTTAGTGGTGACAGTGGCTTTTCCCAGGCACCTGTGCGCCTCCATTTTTGTCGCTCCCAGCATTCCCCAGCCGCGTAGTGTCAGGGACGTCCCAGAAGGAAATCGCCGCCAAGAGTTGCTGCCCATCCCCCGGATGTGGCTCTGTCCTCCGTGGTGTCGCCTCCCCACCTGAATGCCGACACCTTCTCGCCTGCTTTCTCTTAACCTCTGTGGGAAAGATGAAGCACTGGGCAGTAAGATTCCACTGGGAAAGCAGGGAGTCATGGAGCAGAAAATAGAAAGTCTCTCAGACGTAAGCATGTGCTTGCGTCATGTCGTGGGCCTAACTTGGAGGCTGGCGTTTCTCACCAGGCCCCAGACGAAGCCAGTGCTGATGTCCACCGACAGCGTGCTGAGAAGCCAGGGTGGGAGGATTTCAAGGTTCCTAGGCGAGAGAGGCCTTTCCCTCTGGGAGGTTTTCTCTGGCTTTCTCTCATACTGCCAGTTTTCAGAGGGTTCCAGCCTACTGCACTCGGGTGGCTTTAGCCGATCTTCCTTATCCTGGAGAAACAAGTGATTTTTTTTCCTCCTTATGCTTTTCCCTTGGCCGTTCTGTCTTCATCCCTTAATTATCCACCTCCTCCATACATCTTTGCTTGCCTGCCTTCTCCACCCGCGGGTACAAAACCACAGAATTTTATGTTATCGTGCAGAGCAGGTTGCTCTTCGTGGTACCCACCTTCCTGTTCCAGAACAGAATCTACACTGTGCTTTGTGTAATATGCATGAGGCCAGAAAAGAAGAGCAGTCAGCATCCAGAGTCGAAATCTGAACCACTGATCCCAAATGGCAGCTCTACGATGGCAATTTCCCCAACTACTGAGCATTTACTAGGTGTGCGGTAAATACGAGCTAACACATACTCAGAGCTCACCTCTAAGTCGAACCCCCCAGTTTTATGGATAAAGGAAGAGGGGCTCTCAGAGTCTGAGTGACTTTTCCCAGATAGTAACCATGGAAGCGTGTACTAAATATGAAGTCTGTGTTCAAGAAGGCCTCTGGGTTTTTCTGCTACAAATTCATTTAGACAATGTGGGTTTTGACCTTTAACAGTGCCTCAAAGCAGGCAGTGGCGCAGCTAGTATAACAGAAGCAGAAATAAGAAATGACAGAAGCAATGTGGCCCATTGTTCACATCTAGTTATCTTAAATCTTAAAAAGTAAATAGATGTTTTAGGATGAGGCCCTGAAAAGCAAACATATAAAGCCCTAATCTGATATACAGAGAAATTAACCAGTAATAAAAGACTAAATCATGTTGGGTAGATATGGAATGTATTGGTCAGGGTAGATGAGCTTATGCTGATTAACAAATAAACCCTGAAATTTCTTAGGCCAAGAAAAGTCACCTCTTGTTCATGCTGCATTCCCCAATGGTTCGGCTGCATGGGGTCCATCCTGGGGCCGACCCCACAGCTGTGTCATCTGGTGTAGAGAATGTTCTCAGTCCCACTGTAGGGAAAGTAAGGCTGAAGAGCTCAGCTTGCAACTACCATGGGTCATTTCTGGTGACATTTCGTGGCCAGAGTTAGCCACGTGGCCCTATGTAACTGCAAGGGACCTGGGAAATGTGGGAGAGAAGGTTCCACCCACCATCTCCAGTACACAGGTCAGGTGGAAAAGCACAGAAGATTATTTTGCAACCACTCATCTCCCACAAGCAATCTATTCAAGCAAACAGCAGTCTTTCCTAAGAGAAAAAAATTTGGGGGGCATGATTTGGGGTTAAAGCCAAGGCATTTGCACTATATCCTTAGCCCTTTTAAATTTTTTTAAACTTTCAGACAGGACCAAGTTGCCTAGGCTACATTTAAAATTGTAATCTCCTGCCTCAGCCTCCCAGAGTTCTGTGATCACGGGCTTGTGCCACTATGCCCAACTTCTGTATGCCTGTCTCCTCCTCATCCTTGGCACCAGCCCCACTGGTGTTACCTGAGGGTTAGCTGTATTCAGATTCATAAAGGGATTAGAACAGTGCTTGCTTGACACACTGTCAAGAACTCGATGTTAATTATTGTTATTATATCTGCATCACTGTGAATTAACATATTTAATAAACTTTAATTAGTCATCAAGAATGTAAATGTCAGCCCAGGACACCAGAGATGCTGTGATTGCCAGGATGGATTTCATCCCCACACTCGCAGAGTTTGTAGCCAAGATGAACGAGGAAATAGAACGCGGGAGGAAGGCTGCTTTAGCAAAGCAAAGGGAGCCCTTTCTTTAACCCCTCTGAGTCTCTTCCTTCATCCTCACGTGGGACGCTGAAACCTTTTGAAGTTGAAATGAAAGCATGCGCTGCTAAGGGAGAGCCCACTGCCTATGTGTGGCAGAGGCTGGGTTGCGGGAGGACTAGCTCAGGGATGACCGGAGAGTTGGTTCCTGAGCAGGGTCGTCTCTCCCCAGCCTCTCTGTACCTGTGCCCGAGGAGAAGCTTTAGCAGTTCAAACGCTCGCACTGCTTTTCACTCGGTAATTAACCCCTCCAAATCATTTGCATTAAAGTAAAAATGAAAACTGGAAAAGTATTCCTTAAATAATGATTTCGTGTGTTTAGGCACATAAGTAGCCACCTGGAAGAATTCAGCAGATGTCTTTCCGTTTACCATTTCGCTGCTGTGCCCAATCTTTCCCAGAGAACTCGTGTTCGTCCGTGATCGTTCATCTTCATCAGGCAATAGGAGGCCTTGTCACCTGCTCAGGGTTCTCCAGACGATGAACTCAGTGCTTACTGGGAAATACGAAGGAGTGTGTAAATTACTTAGCTCACGCTCCCTTTGGGCTGCAGCTACAAAAGCAGACGGTGTGCAGTTTGCTCTGAGTTTGGCCTGCAGGAGATCTCCACACCCAGCTGTGAAGAGTTTATTTCTAAGCCTGTTTATAATTGATTCTGCTTTCTACCCATTTTCCTAGGGGGAACCTTTTATAAAAGGTGAAAAGGGAGATAGAGTAAGTAGATGTTTTATCACTGTCTTGGGTTTTCCACTTCATTGATTTCTCTTTCTGATTTCTGTTATATTTACCTTAAAGCCTAATAGATTTGCTAAAGTAAGCTTTTCTTCTGTGACTTTTTACTCTTCTGCTTTAAACCTTGCTAAATGCTATCGTGTGATAATACTTTAACAATGGCTTCTTTGTACTTTCTTTAACCCATTTCTATTAGTGATTGGACATGAATGTTAGAAAAGACATCTAGGGCCGGGGATTTAGCTCAGTGGTTCTGGTGCCTGCCTTGCAAGCTCAAGGAACCGAGTTCATTCCCTGATACAAAAAAAAAAAAAAAAAAAAAAAAAAAAAAAAAAAAACATTTAGCACTCACAAATAAAAAAAAAAAAAAAAAAAAAAAAAAATCAGAAAAGACATCCAGTTAGGACTCTAAACTACAAAATTAAAATAGAAAATACCATTGTTTTTTTGTTCCAGAAGTTCTGCTAATGACATAATTCAGATTTATCTAACAGGTTAATGAGTCATGAAAAGAAAACTTGTTAGAGCCAACACCGTCTTCTTTTGTATAACCTTTTTTCTGCTTTTTAAACAAATTAAGTTTAATATATAGTACCTAACAGTAGAATCCTGAACACATGTCACCTTAAAGTCTGTTTTCCCACCCCTTTGTTGAAGTTTTAATTCTCTGAGAAATAAGATAACAGTAAGCCCCTGACTTACAAACAAGTTCTGTTCTGGGAGAACATTCATAAACCAGATCTGTTCATAATCTGACAAAGTGAGTCTGGTACCAGTACACCTGTGAAAATTTGTGACTTGGCTATTCGGGGACTTAATGTAGTTGGTGACAAATCATAACCATGGTGTCCACTAAGCAGAGAATGCAGCGCTCGCTAATAGATGTTTTAAAATGCTTTTGGGAGAAAAAACTATTACAAAGAAAGAACATGCCAAAGGTTACTGCGATACCAGCTCTAAGTGTTCTGATTCATGGTTTTGAAAAGACTCCCCTTGATTTCATCATCTCCTCCATAATTTCCCCCTTTGTTTTATGTTAATCAGTGGAAATGCAAGTAAAGTATCAGACCCCGAGTGCCACCCGAATTTGTGTGTTTACCCACATGGTGATTATTTTATTTACAGGGAGAACCTGGACTAATGGGATCACAGGGAATAAAGGTAATCTTTTGGCATTTTTCCATTCCACCTACAGCCTTAATAAGATTGTGAAAATTACAGTAACATTTAACTTTCTTCCCCCCTCATATGCTTAGGGAGAGCCTGGAGACCCTGGTCCACCTGGTTTAACAGGGAGCCTGGGACTAAAGGTAGATGAGAAACCACTAAGCTGTATTAGGAAATAACTTGGGAAACATAGTCATTCTGCATTTTTAAAGGTGCCTAGGTATGCCACTCATTTTCTTCACAGATGTTCTGAGGTTTATCTTGTTCCCATAGTGATTTCCGCACACTGGCTGCATTTATTACAAGCATAGTAATTGGGCTTTTTGGTTCACAATAGGATTTTAAAATTATTTTTCAGAGTATATTCACAATAGTATCCCTGAAAGTTTTAAGAAGAAACATCAGCTAAGTCTATAACCTTGAGCTGTTTTCCTAACAGGGATAGGACTCAGGATTCTGTTGCTGAGCCAAAATTAGGCAGCCCTGAGGTGCTTGTGTTTCCCATGTGCAGAGTTCTACAGGGTGTCCCCAAAATAGATGTTTTGGGAAGGCATGGGAGAGATGGGGGAAAGTGCCCAACTAATGGGTAAAGCAAATACAAATATTTAAACAGAGCCTATTTTAAAAGCAAACTTAAAAGGCATATCTCACCTTTGGTTTAGGGTCAGCAAGGACCTGCAGGTTCCATGGGACCCAGAGGACCACCAGGAGATGTTGTACGTAGAGTGTCTTCAGTATTTTAAAATGAAATTAAAGCTATGTTTAGAAAAATATCCACATCTGTCCATGCACCCGTTATGCTAATGTCTTAAAGATGGCTTAGACCACTGAAACCAGTCACACAGGGCTGCTGGGGGCTAACCCCTCCAGGACTTCGTAGGAGGAACTCTGAGTGTCATTAGTCTAACAGGTCACTCTTTGAAACTCAAGTTATCCAAATTATCATTTTTGACATGCTTATCAGTGTTGTTTGTACCTGCAGTAGAGGACACTGAAATCGTGAAAAGACACAAGGAAAGCTGAGAGAAAAAGCAAGCATTTCCAGTATGCATGGCTTTTGGTTCAAATCTCCATGCAAGGAAAACACTTGGAAAATTTTTGTTGTTTTTTAGGAAGAGCCTTCCTTAGAAAGCAAGTCCTTTGGCTGGAAGTATCTTCTCTCCCTCTCCCTCTCTCCCTCCCTCCCTCTCCTCAACACTGTCCCTTGGACACCCCCCCCAGCCTGCTGACGAGAGAGCTGAGAGCTCACCATTCGCTCATATCTGAGGAAATGACAAAGTACTGAACCACAACTTCTTGAAAATGATCAGCCACTGGATCGCAGGGTCCCCTCAAGGCCACCTGAGTCTCTCCCTTTTCTTCCCTCTCCCTCTCTCCCTCCCTCCCTCTCCTCAACACTGTCCCTTGGACACCCCCCCCAGCCTGCTGACGAGAGAGCTGAGAGCTCACCATTCGCTCATATCTGAGGAAATGACAAAGTACTGAACCACAACTTCTTGAAAATGATCAGCCACTGGATCGCAGGGTCCCCTCAAGGCCACCTGAGTCTCTCCCTTTTCTGCCACCTTGTGAGCAGCCCATAACCTCTTTCTCCACCTTCCGAGCTCACTGCCTGAGTCTCCAGGGTCTACTGTTCAGCACTCACCTCCCCTTTGGCACTTTGAGCCTCCACTCACAGAAAAGCTTTTCGTTCCCCAATCATCCTGCTAATGCAGCATTGCAGAGCTGCCCAATGGGAAGGCTGTAGGAAAGAGAAAATTCTGGGTCTGCAGGCGGAGCCACAAGACACTCAAGGAGTGAGATCAAGTGAAATGGCTGGGCTCAAAGGAGAATAAAATCAAAAGGAAAGAGCTACTGTTGCCCAGACACAGTAAAAACTTACTTTCCTTGTCACTCTGTTGTCATCTGGAGTCACAATATGATGCCACCACCTCCCATCCTTCCGTCTGTGCTTGGCAGTGACATGAATGGCACATTGCTGTGAATTCCTCTTGTTTATGTTGGGGATTTTTTGTATTAGATCCGGGTGACCTCACTGACACAAGCCATGTGTTTTTGACTGTTGTTGTTTCTTAACAGGCCAAGCCTGTTAAAAGATGTTAAAAGTATTTTGTCTTACCAAAGAGTTGCAGATGTAAGTATCATTTATAATCAGAGATGTTCCGCTTGCCCTTCTCATTTTATTCTGAATTTTCTAGGGTTTGCCAGGAGAACATGGTATCCCAGGAATACAAGGCATTAAAGGAGAAAAGGTCTGGTCTGCATTTTATTCACTTTGTGTTAAGGAGGCAGGGAGGAGGAGGAGACCAAGGGCCCTGATGGGTTCGGAGCAGCGAAAGGACCGCACAGAGCGGCCCTGGTTCTGGTGCAGAAACACCTGTAACACAGCGAACTTGGTTAGCCTTGGGGCCCAAGCCAGGCACAGTTCCCCCCGGCACCGACCTGGGAAGTCTCCCTATCTTTCCAGACCTGACAGAAATACTATATTAATGTTGAATTATTAGGAAATAAATTGTAAAGATCATCTAGAGAACTTTATGGGTGAATGTGTCTATACCTGTACACGTGTGCCTGTTTCACGATTCTGCCTATACTTGTACAGTGCTCACTGCAAAATCTAAATTTAAATCCACCATTTAATCAGATGTAATTAGGACGACGTCTAATGGGGATTAGTAAGTCACTGAGCAAGTGTCTGTGCTGACAAATGGACCATGGTCTCCCCATGGTTCTCACGGTGAACCTGAGCAATAAGTGACCGGCTCCTCTTGTTTTCCTCAGGGAGACCCAGGGGGCCTCATAGGTCCGCCAGGACTTCCGGGGCCAAAAGGCGAGGCCGGTCCTCCCGGGAAGAGCCTGCCAGGAGAACCAGTAAGTTCAAGTCCCTCCCGTGAGTGTCCGTTCCTAACTGCTTGTGGGACCTCAGCTTCAAAGCACAAGCGCAAGCTCAGCCCCACCAAAGGAGGGGTCCCCTTATCCTGCAGATCAAAGGTACAATCACCTTGAAACTTTAATGCAAGCGAAGGGCCCTCTTCTGAAAGACAACAAATGCACACCAGGATTTGCTTGTTGTTTTGGAAAAGTCGTAGACTCCCCGAATCCTGTGCATAGATCCATCCCAGAGCTTTGGATCCCAGGACGCTAGTTTTAAACCAAAGGACACTGCCCTAAAGCAGAGCCGCCTGACAGTTCCCTTTGCAGGTGTTGCCACAGGTTTCGTTTATAAAAAGTGTCTGGGATCCACACTTTCCCAGGACACAGAACCTGGATCTCCAGTGTCACGTGCCCATCCCCACACCTCCTTCCTCCTCTTTGAACCTTTACACAGTAATCACAGTGGTTCTCCATGACAGGTGTTTCACCTTACAGATAGAAACTTTGTATTTCAAAGTAACCATAAAACGTATAATCTATAGAAATTTGTTCCTCATTCCTTGTTCTGCCTGCAGAAGGTGGCTTTGAGTGAAATGAAGCGTGGTGAACAATTTTTAAATTAGGACTTGTAAAATACTTGTAATGTTTTTGGAAAAAGAAATGTATTTACCCTTTTTTTTTTTTGTAGGGTTTAGATGGAAATCCTGGAACACCTGGTCCACGTGGGCCAAAGGTATAAAAATACAGCCAATTTTAAACAAATGAATGAACAACAAAGTATAACAGCAAATCTGTGTCTTTTGAACTTTGAACTGACCATAGCACCTCATTTCGCAGGGTGAGAGAGGACTGCCCGGTGTCCAGGGTTCCCCCGGTGTCACAGGCCCACCAGGGGCAGGGACTCCCGGCAGGACAGTAAGTGAGATCCACTCTAGTTTTTGAAACTCTGTTGATGCCAGTATTGTGGAGCAAAATCCAATGTTGAGTCTTAATAAGGAGAAAAGAATGAGGGACAAATGAGAGACAGAGATGCTGGCTGTGACACTGTCACTAAGTACAGACAAGAGAGTCACTGGTCACTGATTTACAGAGTCTGGTCCCAGACACACTGGCTTTACATTAGAAGCAACCATTTCACCCTTTATATGTCTATTTGTTCTAAAAATACAAACGCATGCTTGGAAGGTATTATGAATGCTAATATAAAATTATTAAAGTGCTTGTTTCTGATTAACATAAACCAAGTTAATATTTTAAGTGAATGGAGTACATGTAAGGAGTCACCTCATTAGAACAAAAAGCACTCCTGTTACCTAGGAAATACCAAGACACTAGGAGTTCTGTGTTAGGAACCAGAGTCAAAAACCAAATATTAGAAAACATTTCTCCTAGCAACCCTCCTGCAAAGGAAATTACAGGGATTTGGATCTGTGGTAGGAACCAAGAGCCTCTAGAGACCAAATATGTTTATTATATCCCTATGTCACAGGCTTGCCTTGATCATGACAGTTAAAAAAAAAAAAAGCATAAGCAGCCATTGATTATGTTATGTACGACTGGTATTTGATTTTTTTCAGGGCCAATGTTTTAGTTCATTTTCAGTTGCTATAACAGAATACTGGGACAGGGTAATTTATAAAGAGTAAAAGTGTATCTGGCTCATGGTTCTGGAGGCTGGGAATTCTGAGTGTGGTGCCATCACCTGGGAGGTCCTTCTCCCTGCAACAAGACACAACTAGAGGCATCACACAGTGAGCACAGCTGGCTTCTAGCTCGGGCCTCTCTTCTTTTTACATAATGCCATCAGCGAAATCCGAAAGGCCCCACCTCCAAATCGTATGAACACATGAATTTGAGTATCAGTCATCTAACACATGAACTCTAGGGGGCGCACATTGAAACCTTAGCAGCCAAAATAGAGAAGACTGTTGGAGACAGAACATTTTTTTTTATTCTGATCTTATAGTTGGGAATTTTTTTTTCAGCTTTAATTGAGTTTATTGGTACATTTTAGGGATACAGTACAGTTACATTCATTGTTGGGATCTTGTACCTCTACCTGACAAGTCTTGATTCTCATTTTTTCCCCTTACCCCTGCCCTCCCTTCACCCCCTCTTCCCCTCCCCATCTACAAACACTTTATTTTCATCTTTTCATTATCTCACATTTTTTTCTTTTCCCTGATTACCCTTTCCCTACCCATCACACCTTCCCTACACCTTTAGCTCCTTTCTTCTCATTTCTAAATGACAGTAATCTTATTAGGATCTTATGTTTTATTGCAGATTATTCACACCAGGGAAACTATTCGGTATTTACACATGTGTGACTTATTTATTTCACTTAGGAGTATATCTTTAATATGTATCCATTTTCCTATGAATGAATCTATTTTCTCATTCTTTATGGCTGAGTAATATTCCATTTTATAGAAAAACCACATCTTCTTTATCCAGTTTCCAACAGATGGGCAAATGGGCTGTTTCCAAGATTTAGCTATTACAAACTGTGCCGCTATAAACATGGGTGCACATACTTCTCTGTGATATGATTCTTACTAAAAAGCGTCTGTACTTCAAAAAAAAACCATCAGCAGAACTAAGAGACAATCTACAATGTGGGAAAAAATTTTTACCAGCTGTTCCTCAGACAAAGGACTATTTATCAAGGATATATAAAGAACTCAAAACAATCAGCCCCTCCAAATATAAAGACCTGATTCAACAATGGGCACCCGAAATGAACAGACATTTCTCAGACAAAGAAGTAAAAACAGCAAGTAAACATATGAAAAAATGTTCCACATCACTGGTCATTCAAGAGATGCAGATGAAAACAACACTGAGATTCCACCTCACCCCACAAAGAATGGCTGCTATCAAGAAATCACACAATAACAAATGTTGGCAGGGTTGTGGGGAGAAAGGAACCCTTCTCCATTGTTGGTGGGAGTGCAGAGTGGTGCTACCAGTCTGTGGAAATCAATATGGAGATACCTCAAAGAGCTTGGACTGGAGGTTCCATTTGACCCAGCCATCCCTCCTCTGCTGGGTATCTTTCCAAGAGAACTAAGAGACAGAACATTTTTAAGAGCAAAAAATATTAGGGCTTTATTAAGGCAGGGATGAGTTTAAAGAAAAACTCACGTAGAGATACAGTATAGAGGGGAAACAAAGGTTTCGACTGTATCACGGATAGGGATATTTATTTAAAAAAAAAAAAAAAGGAAAACCAGTAAGCAGTTACTGAAGTCAACTGCTAAGATGCCAAGTCTTGACTGGATTAGGTTTTTAATTCCTATTTCAGTGGTCCAGGGATGTATGATAAGGATCAAACTCATGGAATTAGGGTTTTCAAATCATCTCAGCCTCATTTTTGGTACTTTAAAAGCAAATTGTCTAAAAAGAGAAAATAACTGATGATGCTTCACTTCCTACTCCTGACACTAAACGGTGGTGCTGGCTCTTCCTTCAAAGTGAGAAATGACACAAAGTACACAGAGGAGAGGGAAGGGAGCCATAGGCCAGCTGCTCCAGAGGGCAGTCGGCTTCTGGTCCAGTGGAATTTGGATGCTTGGATTGTTTGCTCAGCCACTAGCAGGCAGCCAGATGTGATGGAAAGTGTCAGGTCCCAGTGTCTGAGGAAAAGCATGGTGTTGCCAGCAACAGTTGTCAGGCCATGGCCAGTGTTAGAGAATTTTCAGTGTGCATGTTGGAAAATCCCATTGTTCCACTAAGCAAATTACAGCACTTGGTCTCCGGACATTGCTGGTAGATTCTGACGATGTGTGTCTCATTTTACCCAGGGTTCCCAAGGTCCAGCTGGCAAGCCAGGTGTGCAGGTAAACTACTTAAATTGTTCAGAACAACAAACCTAGCTTGCCTACCTGGGGGAAATTATGAGGGACTGGCCTCTTAAGTAACTATTTTTGTGGTTTTCCTCCTCCAGGGTCCTCGTGGTCTTCCCGGGTTGCCAGGAACTCCAGGGAGTGATGTAAGGACCTTCTTTACCTGCCCTACCTCACACTTGCTTTAACCTGCACCTATGTTGCCTTGTAAGGATTTGAACTTTCTGTCTCTGTTTTCAGGGAGCTCCGGGGAGAGATGGAAAGCCAGGCCTGCCAGGCCCCCCAGGTGACCCGGTACGTAACATACATCACCTGATTTATGTACATTTAGTGCACTCAGAAGCCAAACAGACTACCAAGCAACTTTCTCTGTCCAAACTAATTAGAATGCTCAGTGATGGCTTGATTTTGTTTAGCCCCATTATTTTGTAGAGGGGAAAAAAGTTCAAGCTGCCTCAGCATGTGTGTGTGGGTGCGTGTGTGATGAATACTTACTTTCTAAGGGTATAATTCAGCTGTACAATTTTGCCCTCAGCCAAGTCATACCATATAATGTCTCAGGGCCATGGAAATTGAGATGAAATATATAGCCCTCAGTTTCTGTTCTTTCTAACGCTAGTGACTAAATGAATTTCGTTTTTCAAAGTGAAAGTTCACAGGTGATTACCTTCGACACAGCACATGTCCATTGATTCTCTTTAAAAAGCTGTGATGACTAAGTCATAAAAACTGCCTTGAGTGGGTTCTTAGAAAATGAATGTAGGCACTAATGGTGTGTTCCCAAGTTTTATTTTAGGTTCCAACTTGCTTTGAGAGACAGTGAAATCCCTTTAAGTAGCCCCAGCTTCGGTAATTGTAGTTTGAGAACATTACTTTGTATCAAGAGTTTTGTAAAGTAAAATCCGAATCTGGCCTCTGTTCTAAACTCCACAAATCCTTTCTTCCTCCCACACTGTTTGGGCCTCATGTGTCTTTATAAACCTGACGCAAAGGCATCTACCTTGTGGCCTTACTCCAGCTGTTGCACCATTTGTGAACGTTGGAAAGTTTAACTCAGGCTCTGGTCTCTCTCTGAAGGACATCTTAGGTTGTGTGGCCCAAACTCAGTCCCACTTCTTCTGCTGCTGTCTTGGCCATCACTTAGGCCACTGGAGAGCCTCTCTGGAGCTTCTTGAGAACCAGCTTCAAGGAAAACTTCCTTTGTACGCTTTATGTCTCTCAATAGCTTGATAATGTGCTTGTCAGTGAAGGGATTTCCTCTTGCTAAAGGACTTGTCTTTGTTACTTAAAAACCAATAATGTGAGCCGGGCATTGTGGTGCACGCCTGTAATCCCAGCACTCGGGAGGCTGAGGCAGGAGGATCACTGTGAGTTCGAGACCACCCTGGGCTACATAGTGAGTTCCAGGTCAATCTCAACTATATAATGACACCCTGTCTCAAAACAAAACAAAACAAAAAACAAAACACAAAACCAATAATGTGAAAGGGAAGGCAAAAGTTTCTATGTCCTGAAAATATAGATGTAGAATCAAAACAATAATATGTATGAGTTTTTGTGGTCATGCTGGAGGAATGGTGGCCGTTCCACAAAACACTTCTGGATTCAGTTGCTGGGTGTCAATTTCTAACCTGAAGCATAGTGTTACCCCAGTAATCCTGATAGTGAGGCTCTAGAAGCTTTGTTTCCCAAATCTCAAATGCCATGCACTTTGAGGAGCAGCATCTTCCGTTTTGTGTATTTGTACATACGTGTTTTTTCATGCTTTGTTTTTTTCCTCCTTCACCAGATTGCACTTCCTCTCTTGGGAGACATCGGTGCCTTGCTCAAGGTACTGTAATGTAATCGTGGGTCCAAGAAAACTCAGGAAATCTTTACTAGAAACGGAGTTAATTCCTTAGCCTGAACAACTCCATTTTCAGATGGCAAGACATATTGGATGGCAAAAGAACATGGGTCATAATGCGTCTTGTGCTGTTTCTACTGCTTCCCCCATGCTCCCCTTTTAGCCAGTGTGGGTGTAGGGGGGTTGGTTCTAGGACAGCCACAGGCAGTTACGTTACTGCACTGTTAACACCCTGGGGAAGCAGCTCTCCCTTTGTGGGTGATCACCCTCGGGCTCACTGCTGTGAACACTGGCCCTCCTCGGTGTATCTGTCCCGGCCGGTCCCAGGATGAGACCAGTGCGGCTCACACACCCAGCTTACGAGGCAGAGCTTCTATGGTGTGAGGATTTACAAAACTAAACTATACAATTCCAAAGCCAATAATTGCTGTAACCCCCATCACTGTGTCAAATGAAAATCGTATCTGCCTATCTCCTAGAAAATGTATCTCACATATCGCTTCTCGGCCTCTTGGCTAAGATCAAGTGAAAATGCACCTATAGAAAATGAATCTTGCTACAATTTTCTAATACTTCCCTGTATTTTACCTGTATGAATGGAAGAACTGATAAGACTGAGGGTTCTTATGATGACGGGAAGGTTAAGCCCATGGGTGTCTCCGTATCCAGATGAAAGTCTACCTTTATTCTCAGATACTTTATACACATGACTTGGGGCAGACAGTGTGTGCACACTTGACTACAGCTGTGTACATGCCCAGTAATTTGCACAGAGACTTGCACAGTAGTAGGCACGCAGAAATACTTATTGAATTGAATCAATCAAAAAGCTCAGGATTCTTGTGGATGTATTCATGGGTGATTAGAGTTTTGAGAATAGACCTACAAACATGAGTTGAAATAGGAATATCAGATCTCTACAACAACATTGTCTTATGAGATAGAAAAGACTATTTTGGGAGGGTTTGAGGAAGAGTTTATTTACTGAGTTCTAGTTGCATGGAAGTCAGTGTCCTGCTTTAAACACATTCAATCTTCACAATATTATAATTTGAGGCTGCATAGCATTACCCTACATATGAGAAGCCCAACGTTCCAAGCCATTAAGTAACTTCCTCAGCCACATAGCTAATAAATGGAACACGGACGCAGGAACATGTCCTCCTCGGGAAGTCCTGGATCTTCATAAGGGCAATAGTGTTGGAAATGGGTCTGTGGTGTGCGTCATCTCTGAATAGTTAGAATTCTTTAAGGATCGTGTGCTGATGGAATATAAGATGGCTCCTCGTGGAGACAAAAACACTGACAAGAGGAACTTGGGCTTCAGGAAGGACAAGGGAGGAGGATGGGTCTCCAAACCAAAACACAGATACAGGGATTTCATTTGGGGTTGATCTGTTGGTCAAGCTGATAATGTGAAGTTCTATCCTGACTGGTACCCAACACAATGACTTGGCATCTCCAATTGAGTCTGGTGTGACCAAAATCACCCTGCTTTGTTTTCAAAATCTTGGATTTGGGAGGTGGTGTGATTACCAAGGCCTCAGACCTCCTCCTAGGCTAACCTGGGGGTGACTCCCTCTTTGAGTGACACTGTACATTGGCTAAGAGCCGATGTATTTTATTCTTTGCATAAAATCTTAGGTGATTTTTTTAAGAACATTAAGTCCAGTTTCTCTTAACTTATCATTCTGGTAAACCTGACCTAAAGAAAGTGAGACCAGTTTCCAATGAGATTTGGAAAAGTTTTACTCACAATGATTATCATTTATAAATATTTTACTAAAACTATCAAGTGAACAATTCATTCTAACATGTTCCTGCATATTGATACACCAAGGTTTTCACTGTTGTATCCTGTCCGTGTCTGTGTGTACAACCCATCTTTTTCATGTTTTGAAATAGGGAAACCCTTTCGGTTCTCCTAAGCCCACAGGCATTTCTCTAACTTTACAGGTTGTTATATATTATCAGTGGTAGCTGTATAATTATATATGTATTTTTAACTCCCCTACCAATACATCAGTCCTTTGAAGTGATTGTTCCTAAAAGCAATTTCAGAACTGTTGCCCATAACCCCTGTAACTGTATAAACCGTTTTATACTCAGCATCTATAAGGCGGCTCACCATGAAGAAAGCTACTTAATCCAGCATTTTTGAGACAGTTTGCTTCCAAGCCTTCTCAATGTTACAGAAAATTAGTCTTCCAAGAAACGTATTTTTGGGAATTAGACCTATGTTGATGTCCACTGGGTCACAACTACAGGACGTGACCTGGCTTGGGCTTCATCGTTGATGGAATGCTTCCATCCCCTTCTTTACGTTTAAAGATCTCCCTTTTATTGAACAGGAGGAGCAGTTGAGGCTTATATTGCCCTAACCTATGTCAGCTGTTCATCTGCCTCCTCCGTGCAGGGGTCTGCATCCCACCGCTTCCTGGGTCATATTCTCACTCCAGTGACTTACTGAAAAGTCAGGCTTGACAAGGGCGTTTCACAGACTCTGTTTCCCTGGCTGTGTGATGAGACTTGTTTATCTCACAAGCTCACAGACACGTAAATTCAAGCCTTCCCAGAGAGCTAATGGTTACAGAGAGGACACTGGGAAGATGGCGGCACTTAAATTTCTATCTTCTCTTGGATCTGACGTCATCACCAAGTCCAAATCACTCAGGGAACTGTTCTGCACGTGAGTGCTTCCACTGGCAAAATGTGGGTGAGCTGTGGAGGCGTCTACTCATTTTCTGTGCAGAAGGAGAAATCCTTTCCTGCCAGTTTGTTCTTTTTACCTTTTAATGACTTACACTTCCGGTTGTAGGAGCTCTGCAATCTTGCTGGTTAGTCTAAGCTCTGATACCCTCTTTCTTTAAATGTGCTTCTGAGCAACTGAAAAATCAGTCTGTGTTCTTGACTTACAGGTTGTTTCCATATTTATTTGGGGTTTTTTTTTCATTGAAATATTAGCTAAAAAATAAAATCTCACTAGTGTCAGAAACAGATGTCACTGATGAACTCTGCAAATAGTTTTTGCTTCCCAAAGTAATCTCTTCCAATTGAAGAAATAAATCTCTGAACACAGAGTGACCTTCCAATTGGCGCGTTGCCCATAAGCAGAGCTTCAAGTCGGGTCAAACCTCTCTCTGGAAGACTGTTGCCACGAATCTCTCAGTAACCTCCTCTCTCTGCTCATTAGAACTTCTGCGGCAGCTGCCAAGCCAACGTCCCTGGGCTGAAAAGCAACAAAGGAGCCGACGGGGGCTCAGGGGAGCCTGGGAAGTACGATTCTCCAGCCCGCAAGGTAAAAAGGCCTCCACTGTCCAGACGCCCCACACACACCGAGCGCACTCTCAGTCCTGTTCACTCCTCTGTCCTTCAGGGCGATACGGGGCCGCGGGGTGCTCCGGGAATCCCAGGCAGAGAAGGGCCAAAGGTAAGAAAGTCCTCAGTGGGATTTTCAATTGGAACCTGTTCCAAAATATACCATTTCTTTACAAAGCATATTTTGAGAAAGCAGGATAAAAAGCCAAATGTCACCATCATTTTGTTCCCTGACTCTATCCAAATTGTCTGTGCTAAGTGTTCTGATGTTTTCCATTGTGCAGAAGATAACATTGGCTGAGTCCTCGCTAACCCTAACATGTCTTTTCAGGGAACCAAAGGAGAGCGGGGCTACCCTGGGATACCCGGCGAGAAAGGGGACGAGGTAAAGCATTGTTCTGAGATAACACAGTCCTGTTGCCGATTCTCCGCTGGACTCGAGTGCAGAAAGACATCAGCTCTACTATGGCTCCTAGTTAATGCTAAAACCAATCAAAACAAAGTAGGAAGTCATCACATTTTTACACTTTCAATAGCAGGTTCAGGCTTACTCCCAGTGGTCCGCCTTTGAGACAAGGAAATGAAGGTGCAACGTTAATGTAACAGTCATGTTTTCTTGTTGCTGTTTTCATGGAGCAGGAAGGAGGATAAAAGTGAGGGAGAGGAAATTTACGGAGAGAACTCAAGGAATGGGTGAAGACAGTCCGGGACTCTCAGCTGTGCTCTGCCACAGATGGCTTCGGTGACCTTGGCTTGTTTGTGTCACTACTGAGCGCCCAGACTCTTGGGAGAAAAACTACCAAAAGGAGCTCCTTGGACAAGTCCAGATCAGATGTCCACCCCCAAACCAAGGGTCCACAGTGTTTTCCAGATAACAGCAGACTTTTCTGACTTTAAGTCACAGTGATGCTCAGGATTCATGTCTTGCATAATCCATATCAGAAAAACCAGTTAGAATGATGAATTGTTAGTTTAAACAGTTTTGATACTAATAGTTCTTCATGAAAGTAAGTAGGCCATCTGGCATATATTAACCTTGATGTTAGTGCAAAAAATTAGAACGGTGAAAAGAAAATCTATTTTCTAATTGGAATTATACTTCATACTACAAATTATCATCGTGCAATATTGCTTTTAACTCATTGATTCTGTTCTAAAAAGCTTGAGGTGTGGCTTGGGATTTTCTTTTTACCTGGTTAAGAAACAGGAAATAATTTTATCTATAAATAACATTTAAAGGCATTTTGTTTTCAAAATAAATGTTAATAAGCTTTCCGTTTCCTCAAGTGCTACTGTAACTATACTTTAGTGAAAACTTCTGTAACAGATTTTTAAAGTCCAACAGCTTTTTTGAGAAGATATTAGCAAAAAGATCAGAAAATAGTTGGAATTCAGGTTTTTATAAATGATTTTAAATTCGCTAGAAGGTCCTTTTTATCAATTTTGCTAGGTACTTTGTTCTCTCGGTGAACTGAAATCCACTGTTAATAGTCTTCTACCACTATTTTAATGTGCTCACTCTTTTACAGCTTCTTACACAAAATTGCACAAGTCCCATTATGTGGGGAGATTCCAGCAGGTTAAGGAGATTATTTTCCCTTATTTTTCACAACACATAAATGAATATATCTGAAGTAATATACTGACTCTGGTGGGCCACTTGAGAGGAAAATACCAGTAATAGTGAATGTAGTCGTCTTCTCCTGGGACCAGATAATTCCTGAGGTAATCGTTTGTTGATTTAAGAGAATAAAACTTTGACTAAGAGCACATATTTCCAGCTGGCCAATAGACCACTGTGTTGAATCTCAAATCTTATAAATTTCAAATGTCCAATCAACTCTTAGTGGAAGAGGCCCAGAGGGACAGCCTGTGTCTTTGTTGACTTCTAACTTTGGTCTCCCTGATTTGATCCATGAGGAGCCTGTTTGGTTACTGCTCTTTGGAAAGTGGCATCACCACCCACCCCTTTACACAGGTGGTGCTGTACAGCTGAGGTGACAAAGTGTAAGATGCTCGTAGGACAGAACCCACCTTGGCAGTCAGAGTGAAGTCTTGCTTGGAGTGCAGGTCTTCCTACAATATTTCAGAATAATTGAGAAATAAGGCATGAAAATATTGTCAGTCACAGATTATAGCAATAGTAGCAGTTTAGCTAGAACTTGCAAAAAATCAAAGTATCAAAACAGAGAACTCGCTTGGCTCTCATGATACCAGAATACCTATGCAATAAATTTTAATTTGTATTTTAGGTTGGCACTATATGCTAAATTGACTATCCTACTCTTTAATATGCATTTGTCTTCTTTAAGACCATCTTGTCACTTAAAATTATCTTATTGCCCTTTCTACATCCATACTAACTTTTACCCTTACCATGAAATTTCAGCTCACTCAGAGCAAGATTGCTGAGAATTATTTTTTTTATTTATGGACTCAGGTTTATTTTAAAGTTTAATGTGGTCGTCAAAGGTTACTGAGTCCCACGCTTATAAATTAGACTACCTAAAAACTCGCTCAGCATCTCCAGAAGGACTCGGAGTTGAGGCGAGGTGCAGCAAAAAGAGGAGTGCAGATGTACTTGCATAACTGACACACGTAGGTAGAGAGAGAATGTTATGGAAATGTAGTCAAGTTAAAGAAATGTATACTAGGATGTGTGTAATAGCCAGTCATCTAAAAGTATCACTCCTAAAAGAAACACTCTTCCATTTATGAAAATATAGACTCATAAGGTTAATGCTGGGGACAGTAAGAGACCCGGTCCCTCATGCTGATCTGCGCCTTCTGCAGGGACGTGGACACAGTCCTGCCGATGAGGCGGAGACAGATGTGTCCACGTTCCTTACCATGCACACCAAGACTCTGCCCAAGGCTTACTGCATGATGAATTGAACATGCGAGGGGCCCTGCTCCTAGCGTGCCTTTCCACCATATCCCATGGATAAACCAGAAGGAGCGTAGGATCTCCTTTGGCACTGAACGGGCCGACTGGAATACCTGGCTGAGCTCTGGCCGAGCTTCCTCCTCGATCTCACTGGTGTGGGGAAGCCCTGACCCAGCTCACAGTCCCATGGGACTCATTCATCATGATCACTTTAGCTGATGTTTGTAACTAATACGGATTTCAGCCCAAAACCATGTATACACACTTCTGGAAAAGAAAAACTAGAATATCATGAGATTAATACAAGGTCCCTTTGGCCTCTACAATGACAAGAGAAGCTCAAAGTGGTGGCCATGAGCTTCCAGACACTTATCAGTACTTTGAACTGCTGCTCTGGTGACCCTGGTCACCGAGATCACTGCACAGGGATTTTCAGTTTCTCCTGTAAGAGCAGGCAGTGTGATGGGTTTCCTGCGTGGAAGGTAACACCATTTGTTGAAAAATGTCCTACCACTTTCCTTTTCCTGCAGTGTGTATACATTTTTTGGGTAGACTCTGTAGATATAAATTTATATTTCTTAACAGGAAAGGGGGAAGGAGATGTGACAAAAGTGTATCGGCCAGGTAAAGAGAATATTCAGCAAAGGAGATGAAGCCTTGGAAGAGTAGAACATTTGATCTACAACACAGAACTGTTTATTTTGCAGTGCTCTGGGCCGACCCTAGGGCCGTGCATGTGCTATTGCTCTGCTGCTGAGCCCTTCATGCTAGAACTTGATGCCATATGTGTTTATCTAAAATAACAAAAGGGCATCATGATTTTTCTGTTACAGAAGTGATCTAGGTTTGTTACAGGAAATTTGGGAAATACACAAAAAGCACTGAAATGTTAACTTACCTCTGTCCCCACCCCCGAGGTCATAGTAACAGCATGATCCACAGTCCCTCATCCAAAGGCCTGAACGACTAAAAACCTGGGAGTCTCTGCCAAGTCTGTAGCAGCTTCGTGTGGCAGCAAAACCTGCCCTGACTTCACACAGAGCTGGTCCATTTTTCTCCCTCTATCAGATACCCTGTTTTGCTACAGAAATATTTTGGCGGCAGCACTGGAAATGCTACTTAATACACAGATCGTGGACTCTGTTGCCCTTGTAAAAAGTCTGAAAAATCTGGAATTCTGAAGCCCCTGACAAGTTTCTAGATAAAATATCCATTTGCCGTGACAGAATAGTAAAAATCTGTTTCTCAGTCCTATCGTTCCTTATAGGACATGTCTTTACAATTGTTTAAAAATGTTGACCCTGTGCCCTGTAACACTTCGTGGCTTTTACTTTTCCATGTTATCTAATAGTTCTCTAAATCATCATTTTAATAGTTATGAAATGTCCATTATAAATTTTTATGCAATTTATTAAAATTTTGTTGGTGCACTTGATAGTGGAACAAAATTACACAAATTGATGGTTAATTTTGCATGTCCTTCCTTGATATATAAACATATCAGCATTTTAAATACTATTCAGTATAATTAGGATCATTCTATAAACCCAAGGAGGGAAGAAGGGCTTTTATGCCTTAGCCATAAAAGGATGGCAAATTAAAATTCACCAATGAGCCAGGTTTCTCCTTGTAACAAACTGATCAGCTAAACTAGATTTATCATAAAACTTACTCCATTTTTCTCTCAGCTGAATGAAGCCTTCACGTAATCATACATTTCTCTGCTGGCATTCTGCCAATCTGATATTTGTATCTCTGTGCGTTAGCAGGGCTGGCTCTGTAAGATCTGCAATGCTGTGTGAGTCACCAGATATATTCCTTACTCTTTGGAAATAAATATTTACACATGGCATACACCGTGTTTCCTAGTTAGCTAAAATATGTTTATGTCATTCTGGTTTTTTTTTTATAATATTTGATTATCTGAATGCTTTGTTCTCTGTATCAGATCTTATGGTCACCCTATCTCTTCTAGGGTCTTCAGGGAATTCCAGGCATCCCAGGTGCCCCGGGCCCCGCGGGAGCCCCTGTAAGTATTCATTCAACTTCCACTCGTAGCTCACACCTACTTGAGATGCATGAAGATTCCTTGTCTTTTACTCTGTGCTTCTATGCAGATTTCCAGCTGTTGCGCAGGAAAGCAGCCCATCCACCACCTCTTATTTTCACTTAGTATTATTTAAGGCTGGTGAGCATGCCAGAGACTGGCATACAATTCTTCCAGACCAGAAAGCAGTCGGAGTAAGCTACTCTGAAATAGAAATTAGATCTCAAACAGCATTCTATTTTTTAGTTATAATTTTTGGCACTAATCTTTAGAAAATATTTGGGTGCTGGGAATCGAACTCAAGATCTTGCACTTGCCAGACAGTCACTATAAGAAAAGATATTCTGATGGAAACATAAGCTGAGAATTTATTTCTAGCAGAGCAAAAGTAGATCAGAGATTATCAGATTTATTTTTATTCTTATATACGAGCTTAAAAGTGCTCTAATTTTAGTTCGGGGTTCCACCATCCTACTAATGCACCATCTTGGCCATTGTGTCTTTATCATATTTTCCTAGAATTCTCTAGAAGCTTTTTGTCTTTCCATCTGCCACACCTAATTTGAATTTCAAATAAATAATTTTAGTGTAAGACCATCCCAAATGTTTTTACTTGCTAAATCTAGCCACCCAATTCATGTCTGTGTCTCTCTTCCCTTCTTAGAATTCCTTGCAGACAGAATTTTTACCACACAAATAAGATAGTAATCATATTAATATTTTGAATCATGGGTTTGCCATAATTAAATTTTTACCGTGTATGCCTTTATCACAGTATGTAGAACAAACCTGGTTTTAAACGATACAGTGAAATTAAAAGTTATAAACAGCTGTGAAAGGAGCCATGAAAATTATACTTAACTCTACCCCTAAAGAAAAAGTAAAATTAAATTGTATTTTTTATTGGTAAAGTGCAGATCACATAATTCAATGTGCACATTGTTAATTTTGCTGTGTCTTGAAGTATTTAAAATGTTGATTGCTACCAAAATTATAGCTCATTTAGGAAGGCATAATGTTATATAAATTGCCATTTAAACAGCAAGGCGAGATCCTTAAATGTATCAAAAGGTTCCAATTAAGGTCATTAGATGTGGTCGGCCAAGGTGAAAAAGCAACCACAAATACAAATTTCACCCTTCCAAGGACTTAGCAGCAGGGTACAGCTGCTGTATCAGCCTGGAGAAATATAAGCTTGTAGGACTAACTTAATTAGGATCACCTGACCTTCAAAATGTGTACATTTTACCCAACAGCTTCCAATGCCTTTTGGCTATTCAGTCATTTCTGTAACAAACTTACGGTTTTCTGTCTTACAGGGATTCGTGGGAAGAACTGGACATCCTGGTCCCATGGGAGCAAAGGGTGACAAGGTAGAGATGGAAAACCTCACTCGCCATTTGACTTGGGGCTTTGCTTGGGGGTCCGATGGCACCGCTGGACAGGCGAGCCCAGTCTGGAAGAGAAACAGTGTCAGGGGTGACCGTTCTTGCAGTGGGCTTGGAAGGGTGTGGTCTGACTGCTGCTCTGAACAGGAGGGACGCACCTAGGGGAAGACTCCACGTCCATCTCCTACTACGGCTCCCTGCAGGGTGAGATGAACTGAGGTAGGAAGCCGACCACAGCAGGTTCCACAGCTCCAGACACCTCACTGGCCATCAGCAGGATTCCAGTCACCACGGGCTCTGGAAATTCTGTTCCTAGAAGGTCACAGGGGAAATTAAATAAGGACCTTGTTTCCCGGGGAAGCCAGTCATTGGAAAAAATGTGTGGATGCGGTCAGAAGGGAGGACTAGAGTAGAGCATTATCAGACAGAAGGCTTCACAGGTTTGCCTCACTTGAGGTCTAAACTGGCAGAGTCAGAAAATGAGTAAAATAATCCCACCTCTTCCGACTGGGGAAGAATCAGTGGTCCAAAGAAGCCACTTTCAGGGTCTGCCACCCACTTGTCAGGCTCCAACTTCCATCTCCAAAATGGAGTATGAAGGGACAGAAGAGCAAAGGAACCTCAACAAAATGTAAAGAAAACAATGCACTTATTCCAGAGGGTCTCAGCATGCATTCTGGTGCCACCCTGAGGAGCCTGCCCAATCGCACAGCCTGTTCTCTGCTCCCTATGGGATTACTCAGAGGTACCCTTGCCTTTGAGGTTACTGGGAACTCCAACAGTGAGCTGGGGCACAACTGAGATTGAAAATAGGACTTTTATTTATGCCAAAGGAGGGAAACCCCTTTGCAGTGGGTACGTACCCGCCCTTATTTATTGGCTCATGTGAACTATGGCACAGTTCTCCGAAGGACAATGTCTAGAGCCAGACTGTGACGTGTCATCAGGAGATCCGTCACCAGAGCAATTTGGGAACAGAGGCAACGTATTTGTTCTTCATCACCATTCCCAGGCCCATAATGCAAGGAAACCATGACAGTTTCTGATAAACACACACATTTTATGATGATTACTTTTGCTACTGGAAAATGGGTGGGTACTGGAATGAAATCCCTGATCAAATTTTGGAAATGGACTAAAATCTCTTAAAATTCTTCGGCATTGTATTTTTACTCTCCCTGGATTCTTTTTTCATTAACCATTTCTTGGCAATGCCCCTGAAATAGGGAATCTGGTACAGTCTTTTAAGTCCTTTATTCTAAAAACAGTGCAGTTATAGGAACAACTAAAGACCAAAGGGCTACCATAACCGCTTACTATACATCAGTAGGTAGTCTTATGTTTTATAGAAATAAAAGCAAAATGCACTTCCAAGTTTGAATTTCAACTCACTTCTCACAAATTTTAGCGCTTCTGCTAGAAGCAAAGTCTGGGGCTGCTTCCATTGTACGGGCTGTTTCCCGTACCAAGTGTTGTCAAGTCACTTTTCAGTGGAGACGTCTGACTTGCGCACAAACCTGGTATTAACAGAGGCAATGGCAGAAATTTCTCCTCTTACAGGGCTAACAGGCTGTTACTTTCTGCTTCATGCAGATCGCATGCCTGGGGCCTCTGGTTCCCAATATGTGAAGGCGGCAGGGCTAAAAGTGAGGGAGCGCCTGGAGGCCACCACCCCAGAGCCCCGGGTCAGAGGGACTTTGCTGTGTTCCCGCCCCCGCTGCATGCACGAAGCCCAGAAAGTGGTCGCCTGGCCTGTCTGGCTTCCTTTAAAATAAGCACCGTTCCCCGGAGCTCACGTGGTGAGAATCTGGACAGGGTGGGGAGTGGCGCACACCATCCCGAGGGTATAGACGCGCTTTCCTGGGTCAGGGGAAAGCCACGCTGGGTAAAACTACAACACGGCCATACTGATGTTGGAAGATTGCTCTCTGCCGTCAGTCTGGCTTACAAAACCGGGGTAGAATGGGCTAAGCCAATTGACTTCGGCCTGTGTGTCCCTTGCAGGGCATCGAGGGACCCCCCGGGAAGCCCGGACCCCCTGGACCACCCGTGAGTTGTTTTAGACTTGCCGTCCGTGTGCTTACAGGTGACTTGTTGCTGCAGGGGGCTGCTCTGCAGGCAGAAGGCTAGAGTTCAGTACACACCTGCAAATGGCAGCCAGGCAGCCCTGGGGAGACCTGGCCTGCACACCCCGGGCCTCCCTAAGTGGACTCGGGGACCTGAGTGAGTGCCCTTGCTGTCCATGTCCCACCCGAGGGCCATGGGACAGTCATGTCACGTCAGTGAGCCTCATGCACGGAAAATAACGGAGCTTTAGAGAGATCCCTTTTGATATTACGCTCTGTGTTCATTCGCATCCAAGATGTCTGAGATGCAAGGAAGTGCTATTTATGTAGCGCCCAGTAACAAAGTGTCCAAGAGCAATCTATGTATTAGTGCTGGTGATTGAGACTGCGTGCACTGCCTCTGGGAGGCTGGAGAGAACTGACCTCTCTCTCTAAGGCAAGACTGCCCCCCTGTGGCACTGCACTCAAACTGCAGCAGAGCTGAGGTCCAGGCTGACTGCTTTTCCACCCTCCTAAGGGCAGAAATGCGATAAAAACAGTGTGCCTGTGCGTAGTTGCACACTTTGCACACATATCAGCCCTCTGTTTTCCTAAACCTCTTCACCTTTGTTATTTACCTCCTCTCTTGCCAAGGAAGCAAGACACGAAAGTATTTTGAGTTCTGTATTCTAAAACAGACTCCCTCCCCAGTAGAAGATGGCTAAAAGTTTCATCTACTACTTGTCCTAACTGCTAAAATGTGTTTTTTTTTTAAAACTACAAAATAAATTCTCTGTAAGCATTGACTAGTCAAGCATTTTATGTTTACTTCTCAATTTCTAAAGAAGTTCTTTTCCCCCACTGTTCTAAAGAATGTATTTTTGTAGAAACATCCCACACAGGGTGTGACTAGTGATCATCTTTTACCTTAAGTTTCTATTTGGTGTGGGGAAGAAATTACCCTTCAGCAGCCAAATTATTCCCTACTTGAGTGCATCAGCACCACCTCACCGTAGCCTGCAGCCCAGCAGGCTGAACACACAAACTGAATTTTAATGAGCAAATCATATTCTGCTGCAAATGCGATCGTGTCTCATCTGCCAAACCTGAATGTGGAACCGCAGCCAATGCGGCAAAGGCTCCCTGTGTGAGGTAAACGCCTTTTCCTGTCCGTACATCTGCTTCAGAAAGGCTGAAGATAGAAGCACCAGGTTATTTTGCTGTGGTATTCCATATCCTTTCTAAATAGCATTTCTGCCTTTTACTGTTGTACCAAATGGCATTACCCCTACATTTTTTTATTTTTAAAAAGTACTTCTACATGTCATTTCTTTCCTAAGGGTGTACCTCTCAACGAAGGGGGTGGCATGAGCAGCTTATATAAAATCCAGGTATTTACATTTGCGATTATTTAAAATAATTTCCCAAGTAAAGGTTTCTATAAGTTCTTTTCACCTTTCCCCCTTTTCTTTTTTTAAGGGAGCCATGAATGTCCCCAGTTATCCAGGACCCCCTGGTCCGCCTGTGAGTATAGCTATCAATTATTAACAGCACTTTAACTGAACCATCACAAAGGGGAAAAAAACTCCTAAATTCATTGTAAGAGGCACATTATAAATATAACCACATTTTACAGCAGGAGGAAAGAAGTGAAACCAATTATAACGAATTGGGAAAAAATGCACAAACAAAATATGAAAACTACCATTTAGCATGGTGATGTTACTTTTTTCCTTTTCTCATATTTTTCTTTTCCCTACTCTTCCCACTTCCCCTACACCTTTAGCCCTTTTCTTTCTATTTCACATTATCAGTTATACAATTTGGATCTCATTTACAATTTTAGTTTTTCACACCAGAGAAACAATTTGGCATTTGCATGTGTCTCTTATTTATTTTGTCCATTTTAATCCATTTTATTTATATACATCCATTTTCCTATGAATGACTCTAGCTTCTCGTTCTTTATGGCTGAGTAGTATTCCACTTTACAGAAAAACCACATCTTCTTTATCCAGCCTCCAAATGGTGGGCAATTGGGCTGTTTCCAAGTTTTAGCTATTACAAAGTGTGCCACTATAAACAGGGGTGCACTGTGGTATGATTCTTTTAATTCTTTGGGAAAGATCCCCAGCAGAGGGATGGCTGGGCCAAATAGTTCTTTGAGGTGTCTCCATACTGATATGCACAGCGGTTGGTGAAGTTACTTTTTTCACTGTAAAATCTGAGACCTAAATCAGTGTCCATTTTCATGGATAGAAGTCTCATCAGGTTTTGAATTCTAAGTCTTATTTTTCAAATCCAAATGGTGGCAAAGGCAAAAATTGCAAACAGTATTACATGTCTTAAAGCAAATTGGCAAAGATGCTTTCTAGTCCGTAATTTTGCTTCAGACATTATGTTAAAAGTGACTCTTCCCATTTTCCTCACAGGGTCCCAAAGGCGATCCTGGACCAGTGGTACGTATGTGTTGCACCGCTTAGAAAATAGGCCCTTGGTTCCATCTAGTGAAAGCGCGTCCTCCTAGGTGCTTATTGGTCCACATCAGAGGCCACAAGCAGGCGACCAGAGAAAGGCCAGCATGTGCCATTTCTAAGGGGCCTCAGTCCCGACATCCTCACGGCCCTTGAGGTTTGTCTCTGGCCATCGGTGTGTTTTAAGAATGGTCCTGTGATACAGGGAGGTGCAAGAACCACCCTCTTTTGATGAGTGATTGGATTTTAAGTAGATTGTGGAAGAGAAATTCTGGCTTGAAAGGAATTCCTTAACACATCAGACAACTCCTCGAAACAACAGAAGGGACTGTTTATCTGCGGTGACATCCTAGGCAGTTATCCTGCTGCCAGAAACCTGCTTATCGGGCACAGTGTATCAGGAGGCTGCGTCCTCCAGCCGCCGCAGGGAAACCACTGTGCTCAGCATCTCTCTCGACCAGGGGGGCCTCACTGTGAAAACTCTGGCAGATTCAACCAGGTTCCTTTAATCCTTGGAGCCTTTCCCACCCTGTTATTACAGCACAATCTTAAAACAGCCAAAGGACAGCCACAGAACATAATTTTTATACTTATTTTTAAAAGAAATGCCTTAAAGCATGACCTATTTAATTTGGCAGTAGATATTAAAAATCAGTGTTTCCCCCTGAAAGCATCATCCCAACTGGAAGTTAAGGCTGCAGTGGAAGCTGAAATGCGCACTGCCCACATGTCCTGTCGCCAGGCTGAACACCCTCTGCAACTTCTTGACTGTGTCAGTCGTTACTGCGTTGATTTTCCCACAGTCGTGACATACCCTACACACCTGGGACAACCCCTCTATCACGTTAGGAGCCCCCAGGCTTCTCTTTCCAAACACTGTCACCTTGTCACATTAATATGTGCAGATTCAGGCCGAGGATTTAGCTCAGTGGTGCCTCCGCCTGCCTCGCAAGTGCAAGGCCCTGAATTCATTCCCGGTAGCAAATATATATATGTTATGTGGATTAAATATATTTATATAATAATATATTATTATTTTGATAAAATATGTATTATTGTATAAATATATAGTATTATATATTACATATTATATATTATATCTATTTACAGATCAAGGTGAGAAAGTTTTCTAAATATTAAAATGAAGGCTAAATTATAATTCACTTGCCTCAGAAAGTGGCTGGCAACAAAGTGAGGATGCACTTGAGAAGAATTTGAAGAGCTTGGGCTTCGCTTCTTAAACGAAACAAAGGATAATGAGTAAAAGTTAATCAAAGCGTTGTCCCTGCTTTTAGAGATGTAAACCGAACGAAGCAGAAAGACAGAAACATGGAATCATGAAATTAAATTCTGTGTCAACATTCAGTCTTACCTAGAAAAAGAAACTGAAATTGCTCTCACGGGTCCCGTAGGATCACTGCCTCCGGATCTCATCATGTCCTTTCCCATCTGTCTGAACTGAAGTCAGCCCGCAGTGGGATAGTGCAGGACCAGAAAAGCCTTCCTGAGGGCGGCAGAGGAAATGGGCTCTTCCAGAACCTTCCCAGTCCCCTGAGGATCTGTTCAGTAAACCTTTTGGAAAATTGCCATTCATTGAATGTATTATCTTCTAAAGCAAACCATTTCCTTTGGAATTCAATGATGTTTAATTGAAAACTTAATTATTAGCTGCTTTAAATATTGAGTGAGTGATTGGGTGTTTTCCATGTCCTCAGGACAGTTGCGAATATAAACAGAGACTCAAGAATATTTTGTCAACCCAGGACCTTCACAGAGCCTTCTACAGAATAAAATCTGAACATCTTTTGAATTTTTGTGTTTTGGATTGACAGGTTACTTATTAGTGGGCATCTAAAAAGATTTCTGAAGCATAAAAATATCAAGTCATATGCTTATTAAGGCTTCTATAATAAGGAAAATATCAAATAGTGAAAGTCTCCGCAATGTTTTTGAAGATTAGAATTGCGTACAAAAAATACATTGACAGAGAATAAAATCTGGCAGCTCTGGTGTCTATGCGATTATGTTTTTGTTTTTGTTTTTATTTTTTGGTACCAGGGATCAAATTCAGGTCCTGTGCTTGCAGCTGAACCACTGAGCTAAATCCCCAGGCCTTATGCGATTATGTTTAAAGCATTCAGTGTCATAAGAAAATATTTGAAAGGAACATTAATTCATCAGCAAAAGTATCCAACAAAAACTCCCCCTCCTACCTCTTTCTCCATGGAAAATCCTTCATGTTTCCTTATTTGGGTTAGGAGCTTCCCTTCCACCCCAGTGTTTCCATCACCACTGAATATGGAAACATCATTTCTTAGGGAAAATGCTACACTGTTAGTCAGAGTGACAACTCCTGAAGTCACTGCTGAGGCTGCTCCTGGCTCCCGCGGGCAGGCATCCCAGGGAATACCTGAGAGGATAAACTCTGCATTCACAGCTCCCGGTTCATCCACCTTTAGAGAGTTAAGCCTTGTTCGCTGCCAATCTAGCCGCCCCAGGTACCTCACCAATCAGCACACCTTTGGAAAAGTCCAGCCTTTTGTTGTAATTCTTTTCGAGATTGGAGTTGTCACTGACTAGAAGGATTCATTCTGATTATATTCTTAATCAGAAAAGACACCTCTCAAGAACAGCTTTTAGTCACACACTATTTTCATATTCCCAATGCAAATGTACACTCCTTGAAAATAGAGCATACCATTTACATGCTGAATTACAAATCGGGGCTGGGGAAGTTAGGCAGGGTTGGAGGGATTGGCAAAAACTACCATTGCTTTTCAAATCAGTGCTTCAAAACCTTTTGGTGATTGCATCTGTATGTTTGTTTGTGTTTCACAGGGAGAGCCTGGTGCAACGGGCGTGCCAGGACTAGAAGGGTTTCCAGGCACAAAGGTGAGCACAGAAGGTATAAATGTTGTCCTGCCTCAACATTGGTGTTAGTCACGTCCTCATCGCGGGGATAAAACGCCCAATACCTGAAGGGGAGGAAGTTTACTTGGCTTATGGTTTCAGCAGTTCCAGTCCACGGTTGGCTGGTTCCAAGGCACAGTGGCAGAGTGGAGGGTCAGGGTCACCCCATGGTGGGCAGGAAACAGAAGTGATGAGCCAGGGCCAAGAATACACTCTTCCAGATCACATCCCCTGTGATGAGCTCCGGCGAGGCCCCCTCTTCTAAACCATTCAGGGACTGGACTCACCTGTGGGCAAGGGCCAGTACTTAATACAGTGCCCCATGATCCAAATGCCTTCCCAAAGCCCTGCTCTGGACACATGAGACCTAGGGGGACATTTTGTATTTAAACTAACATTCAAAGATGTTTACTAATTTCCTACTGTCATGCTAGGGATTGTTTTCAATTGGGAATGCATAAGGGAACAAAATAGAAATAGGCAAACCTCTCTGGTCACTTACAACTTATATTTTAGCAATGGGATACAAAAACTGGAAGAATAAATATAAAACCCAAACAGTATTGTTGATAAATACTATGAAAAGAAAGAAAAAGAACAACTTAAGGTGGGTCAGGAGTGCTTGAGAGACAGGGTGGGGTTTGTGATTTTTAAGTAGGGTGTCTATGAGGGCGGGATCTAAGCAAAGACCTGAATAAAGTGAAGGACACGTAGCCACGCCCCATCAAGCTTGAAGAATGTTCTAGGCCTGAGAGTTATAACTCAGTACTAGAGCATCTGACACCGGAGGCCCTTCCAAGAGAAGGAAATAGCAGAGCTGAAGGCCCTGAGGTGTGACATTTCCTGCTGGACCCGAGGAGACCGGGAGGAGTGAGGGAGGGAGTAGGAGAGGTAGGGACGGAAGGAGGGAGTAGCCGCACTGAGTGGAGACTACGACTCAGTTCAGGGAAGCAGAGGCCCGGGGCTAAGCACCCAGACCGAGAGTCAGCTGCCCAGACTTGTCCAGCAAACGTGGTCAGCAGATTTGGGTTCATGCCATATTAGAAAATAAGTAAATAAGCAACTCTTTCACTGCAAAGAACGTGAGAAACACTAATAAAGAGGCTCATCCGCCACTCTCTGGACTATTCTGAGAGCCACCGTCCGTTTCTGAGTGGGGCGGCAGAACCTGCAGGCGGAGGCGTCCTATGAGCAGGGAATAGTGGGCAAGTTAGCTTCAAATATGCTCTAGTTTTGAAAAATAAGTACTAGAAGCAAGAGTGGAGCGAGTGAGTTCACACTGTTCACAGGAGATAAGAGCACTAGTCACCATGGAATTTAAACGAGGCAACAAGACGACCCTCCAGGGAATGAAAGAATGAAAATTGTGTGGCACCAATGGATTGCAGCTCGTGGGGTTCAAGGTACTTGAGAGAGAGTAGTGGTGGGAAGTGGTGAGCAAACGCAGGGATGCGTGAGACAGAACTGGAGGGTACGGAAATCTTGATGGCCAAGGTCGCAGAAGTTTCTGTAAGAACAGGAGGTCGGGTCATTAGAAGACAGTGATGCAAGGGAGAGACCTGACCAGGGGGAGAACCGTCTTGTCGCGTTCTTTCAGCATTAGTCTTTATCAAGCCTGCAAATGCGTCCACCTAATGATAAAGTTCTAGGATATTTAAGGGTGGAAATTCCATCGTTTACAGGGGAGTATAACTGATGAGAATTATCTGTTCATGTCCTCTGCCTGTTTTGAACATTTTTAAATGATACCTAATGATTGTACATATTTAGGGATAGCATGTGATGTTTTCATACCTGTATACAGTATGTAATAAAAACGGGGCTATTAGCTAAAAAATAATCATAGCCTCAGACATTTTCTTTGCAGTGAGAGCATTAAAAACCCACTCTTAACCATTCCGCAATGTACAAACATTCTTAATTGTAGCACCTACAGTACAGTGGACACCAGAACTTATTCCTAACTGTAACCTCACTTCCGTTAACCAGCCTCCCCTTCTTCCACTCTGTAGATTCTGGTAACACCCACTTCCTTGAAATCAAGCTTTTTAGCTATGAGTGTAATCATGCAGTATTTTTCTATGAGGTTTTTGTTTTGTTTTGTTTTGTTTTTTGTACCAGGGATCAAACTCTGGTCCTTGTGCTTGCAAGGCAGGCGGGGGCATCACTGAGCTAAATTCCTGGCTCTTCCTCTTCCTCTTCTTCACAGTAACTATGTTTTATATATTTGAGATATTACTTTGGTCTTGTGTTGGAGTTTTATCCAACTGGTCTTTGCCCTTTATTTTTATATTTAATCCTACAAATATAATTTTAATATAGTTAAATCTCAGACTATGTCTTTATGATTACTTGTTTTGGTTTTATACACAAATGATATGTGCTTTCATTTGTCAACCAAGATCAGAGTGTCACTAATACATTCTGCAAGCTCTTTTAGGTTTATTTCTCGATCTATATGGAATTTACATGAAACATAAAGACAGGGGTAAACCTTTTTTTTTTCAAGGAAGTTATCCTGTCATCAGCCCTGTTTGTAAAATTGTACCCTGGTTTGTTTTTTTTGTTTGTTTGTTTTGGGGGGGTACCGGGGATTGAACTTGGGTCCTTGCGCTTGCAAGGCAGGCCACCGAACTACTGAGCTAAATCCCCGGCCCCTGTACCCTGGTTTTTTACTAAAATCCTGCAATGAATGCTGGACAATCTGAGAATTAAATTTTACTGCTTTGATGTACAGCTTAACTTTATGCCAGAATTTCATCATCTCAATTATTACAGCTTTATTGTGCTTAATATTGATATATCATTATTTTCTTTTATCCTCTGGCATTATTTCAACTGAACTTTAATATCTTTTGATCAAAGTGCAATTTTTTAAGAATTGCATTAAGTTTATAAATTAGTTTGGTTAGCGACACCTTTATAGCTTTGGCATCCTTCAAGAACATAGTATATTTCTTCATTTAATCAAGCCCACTTTTATGTAAATTATGGAGTTTTTTAATGTAGGTCCTGCCCAACAAAACTGCCAGTTTATTATACCATATATAATCATCAGTATTTTTAATGTTGTCAGCTTTATCTAAAATTCCACACTTCTTCTTGAAAAGGAGTTGTTGTTTTTTCAGAAAGAGTAATGGAATACTCTGATTACTTGAATGAGGAGCACTAGAAACTTTACTTCTAGATCTTTGCATCCTAACCTATACACACAATGAGGCACATACAGAAAAGCTTTTCAGAAGACACTCAAGTATGATTAATTTTTGCCTACACGTCAGTCCTATTAACAGCAAGTCTCCAGTGATATGCATGCTATTTTTCTGTAGGGGAAAAGGTGGCATTGAGTTCGGTTAGACAGTTATTTTCCTATGCAGCCTCTAGCTTCCTGACAGCTAAGATTGATGGCTTTTATCAGATCCAAAGAAAAGCTTTACTGAATCCAAGTAATTATTTGAGCATTGGCTTTATATGGTTTTACAGATATTCTAAGGAGCCATTTTTATTTTCATCTCAATAGGGAGATCGAGGCCCAGCAGGTCCCCCAGGAATTGTCGGAATATCGGTGAGTTGAGACGGTTTTACGTTATTTCTGCAGGTGGATATTTTCTTCTCCATGGTAGCCCTCTGCCAGGGACCAAGGTCTGGTGGGCACATTGTAACTTATATGACATTAGGTTCTCAGAGCCTACAGTTTAAAAGCACTGTCCCCTCCGAATTCAAGAAAAATGCTCTTCTTTTCTCCTTTTTATTTTTGTCTTTCTTCCCAAGTCCCTTTCCTTGGGGAGGGACCCATGGCCCTTGGCTGCATTTAAATAGGCAAGCGCAGCTTTGAGCCCTTGCCTTCTGTCCCTGTTCTTGCTGTATATTTCGAGGGTCCTCAGTGATCAGAGGCAGCGCTGTCATCCTGGAACATTTACTTTCAGCTGCCTCTGTACCCCTAGGCCTGCCCGAGCTGCCCCCAGCCCAGTGCCATTAGCAGAGCTTTCCTGCGGCTGGTGTCACCTCAAACTGCCCTCAGTCCTCTCGTCCTTTTTGTTGCTCTCTAGTGTCAAATGTTTTACTCCCATCAAGGTCTTTTCAAATGAGTAGGAAGTGCTTTGGGAAAGGTTGAAATCATTTTTCCAAGCCCTAGGGATCATCCTGATCTTTCTCCCCATCCTCTAATTAAAGTTTTGTGGTTGCACTCTGTGGAGAAGAGGCCGTTCATCCTCTTACCAGGCTGTGGAGGCCAGGTCGGGGGTGACAGGACAGGAACAGCAGTGGAAGCCAGTTCTTGAGTCACAGAACACGAGCGCAATGACAAAGTGGCCAGCAATCACCACCCACTGTCACCTCCGGTCACCCAGCGCCACCCAGACCCCCGCTGTCCCCTCACCCCTTGCGGGGCAGTAGCTGTTCCTCCTTCATTCCCTTTAGCCGCCAAGTCAAATCACAAAAATTCAAATTCCATCCCTAATTTTAAAAATGGCACCCCCCTTATTTAACCTGTCCAGATCAAGATAAATATTTCTATGACTGTAAAAGGAACATGAAAATATCTTTAGCATGAACTTCAATTTTTTTTTTTAACTGAAAAGATCCCTCTTGAAAGCCAGCGGTACACTTGACCCCATCCCCTCCCCGCCCCCCTCTTCAGCGCTGTACCTAGCAACAGGTTTGGGACTGTTTCTGGAATTGCCTTCAGAGCACCTTTACAACCTTTGCCTCCTGAATTTGCATCCTGTTTTCCTTCCCTGTGATGTAATGAAGCTTAATTTCTTACTGTAGTCACCAGGGTGTAACCATAAGTTATCTTGCTGTTACCCTAAATGAAGTCTATCTTCAAATAAAAACGATTGCTCACCAGTGAAAGGATTACAAATATGTGGAACAGTCTCCAAAGGCAACCCAATGAGGTATTTCAACACCCCCCCATGCACACACACACACACACACACACACACACACACAGGGGATTGAACCCAGAGCCTTTGCACTGAACTACATCCCCCACCAGTTTTTCCTTTTTTTAATTTTTATATAGGGTCTTATTAAGTCACTAGATTGCCCAGGCTGGGTTAAACCTTGAGATCCTCCTGCCTCAGTCTCCAAGAATGCTGAGGTTACAGGCATGCGCCACCATGCCCAGCTCCAAAAATATTTTGGGGGGATGTAGTGTGATTGAAATACAAGCTAGCCCATCATTTATTTATTAGCTAACATCTGATACATTAGATCACTGACACAAATAGGAAGGGGTAAAATTTTTATACACTGCAATTATGAAACAATTAAAAATACACCTTATTTTTATAACGACATACTTTACAGTGACTCAGAAAGTGAAACAGTTAAATGGTTCCAGAAACGGCCATAATGGCTACATGACAGTGAATGTGTTCAGCCATTGAACACTACACTTCATTTAAATGGTAAGCTTTGTGTTATAGACATTTGCTAATATAAAAAATTGAGAAGATTGTTGTCGATGCAGCATGGGCAGAGCCTGCCCACATGTTCTGTCAGCCCAGGTCCCAAGGATCCAGTTCAGCTCTTCCTGGAACAGACCCGCTTTCCGATGGGAACCCCATCTCCCAAGATGGCGAGTGGGGGCCTGAGGAAGTAGCCACAGCGGTGGCCGTGGGCAGGGCTCCTGTCCGCGTTTCTCCTCTAGCTCTGTTGCTGGAGCCCCCTGCCGCTGCCTTCCATCAGCGCCCCCAGTCCTGTGCCTCCGCACTGCACACGCTCCTGGTCCCCTGCGGGCCCCTTTGGGTCCTGGCCTTCTCGGCTCTTGCCCAGCTTGGGCCCCTGGAAACTTCGGGGGCTCCCTCTTTGTACCTGTACGCGGTCGTCTCCAGACTTCTGTACCACCACTGGAAAAGTCTCTTAACGTCCCGGAACTGCCCGGTATTTCTAGGCTCTCGCCCCTGTACCACGCCCCCTGCTTGTCTGTTTCACCCAGCTGTGTTACGTCCGGGGGGTGGGGTGATTCCTCCCAGAAGCCCGGTCTGCACACGTAAGCAGCTCCCCACCCCGAGACTGCGGGTCACCATCCCTCATCCCTCCCTGCGGCCTCTGCCCTGGGGTCTTCCCTATTCACTGTCCTTCAGGGCATGGTGTAGTGAAAGGAAGTAACCTTTTCCCCTCCCTTTCAACACAATGGGCTTCTTCAAGTCAAACATGTTTTTCAAGCCATCTTACCATGAACATAAAATCCCTCTTGTGAAAGTCAAACTCTGGGGAGATCTCTTTGCCTCTCTGTGCCATTGCTCCCCAGACAGTAAAGAAGAGTTTCTAGGAGAAAAAGGCACGAGAGGGATTTCCAGCAATGTGGATACATGGGTTCGACATTTTCAAAAGTATCTGCTGTCCCCAGCCCTCCCTCCGTTCACGCAAGTGTACATTCAGAGCTGCGGGGCTGAGCTGTACCCCAGACTCTGTCCCAGTAGGGACTTCACTCCAGAGAGCCGCTGCCCCGGTAGCACTTTAAACTCATGGGAGGAGCGGAGAGGAACATGGCAACAGAAATTTAGCCTCTTACCTTTCTCTTTGATTTGCTTTCCCAGGGTAAACCTGGTGCACCAGGGGCTCCAGGAGTCCCAGGAGAGCCGGTGAGTCACCAGCCGCTGTCATCCTAACCCTTGTACTGTGTTGCACTTGGCAGCAGTCTTAAAGCATTCTTTGGCCACCAAACTTACCTGTGCACATGTTTCTAGGGTGAAAGAGGACCTGTTGGTGATATAGGTTTCCCTGGACCAGAAGGACCCCCAGGAAAACCAGTAAGCACTTTTTACTACTTAAAATTTGCTATAAAAATAAATATATGAAAAAATGTATTTATCTGCATCTCTTGAATGAGCAGTGAACAACACTGAGATTCCATGTCACCCCAGAAAGAAAGGCTGCTATCAAGAAATCAACCAGTAACAAATGATGCTAGCCAGGCTGTGGGGAGAAAGGAACCCTTCTCCATTGTTGGTGAGAGTGCAGACTGGTGCAAACACCACAGAAATCAATATGGAGATACCTCAAAGAACTAGGATTAGAGGTTCCATTTGACCCAGCCATCCCTCTGCTGGGTATCTTTCCAAAAGTATTTAAAAAATCATAACACAGCAATATATGCTCACCCATGTTTATAGCGGCACAGTATGTAATAGCTAAAACTTAGAAACAGCCCCATTGCCCATCAATTGGGCACTGGATAAAGAAGATGTGGTTTTTCTATAAAATGGAATATTACTCAGCCATAAAGAAAGAGAAAATAGAGTCATTCATAGGAAAATGGACGGATAAGGCCATACTCTCAAGTGAAATAAACAGGACACACATGTGTAAATGCCGAATAGTTTCTCTGGTATGAAAAACAAATTATATGACTGATAATGTGAAACAGGAAGAAAAGAGCTAAAGGTGTAGGGGAAAGGAAACAAGGGAAAAGAAAAAATATGAGAAAAGGAAAAAATGGAAACAAAGTCTTTGTAAATAGGGAAGGGTGGAAAGGGTGAAAGGAGGGCAGGGGAATGGAGAAAAAATGAGAATGAAGATACATCACGTAAAGGTACAAGATCCCAATAAATGTAACTGTTCTGAATACCCAAAACGTACCAAAAAACTCAATAAAAAAAAACTTGTTGCTGTAAGAAGTGTTTGAAGAATTACTCTTCTCCTGTCTTATCAGAAACTGTTATTTGTAAAAGAAGTTTTGGGAAAAGAGCAGGTTCTACAAATAGATTTAGAGGGGCATGTGTGGGGATTCTCATTAAGTTTTCTTAGATCTATATGCTATACTGATGTCTTAACAGTAAAAAGGGTAAGATTTTTTAGGAGCTGAGAAAATAGACCCATTATTTCTATGTGTCTAATATTCTTAGCAGAATTGTTAAACGCCCTTAACATCCTAAAATATAAATGTTGTAGTCACTTTCTCTTCGCTGAGACACAGTGCCTGGTGCTCAGCACTGAGGTTACAGCCATGGTCAGCTGGCTTCAGAGCAGACAGGGCATACAGAGGGATGTGGCAGAGGCAGGCAGGAAGCACAGAAGGGAGGAGCTGCGGAGGGAGAGACGCCTTCGTGGTCGCACCCCTATTGACCTGTCTCTAGCCGGGCCTCTCCCAACAGCACACTCAGCCACTGAACTCCGCACAACACCCCATGATCCGTGATCCATCACCTTCCAGAAGCCCCACCTCTGAACACATGGTGCTTTGAGGACACTTTCCGGATCAAAACCGTAACAATAAAGAAAGCAGATTCACAGATGTGATAGCTGTACATCAAGCCAAAATAGAAACTCTATTCTCGGAATCCCTCCTTGGCCTCATGTTTACACCTTCATAAATCATTGGCACCCAATATATCACCCCCTGTGCCTGAAATGAGCCCTCGGTATGGGCACATATCACCGGCATGCTGTTGTGACACCCATTCGCCTTCACCGCAGCATGTCTTCATCTAGTCACGCCGTCTACAAGGCTGTGTTGGAGCCTTGGAGAAGGGGTGTAGGGACGAATCCAACACACCCTGCTCCCTCTTCTGGTTTATTCACTGTGGTGCGCATGGGAGGAAGGCAGAAAGCAAATAAGCTGCCCAGAGCCCAGCTTGGCTCCTCCGAGGAGCCCTGGGTTGGTGTTTCCCTAGGCACTGTCTCCTCAGGGTCAGCCAGAGGGACAATGGAAATCCTACGGGAGGGGAAGTCAAAAGGTCTGGGCCTGGATTAGGACCCCAAGGGTTTCCTGAGTCCATTAGGCAGTGCCATCACTTGTGGAAGGATTTCCAGTGCCCACCGGTAGCCACAAGAAGTGTCGGTAAATACTCACTTTACGCTCTGCCTCTCCCTCACCTCCTCTCACCAAGTCCCCATCCCACATTCCTACTAGCCATTCAGTCAAAGCTTGCCATGCCCCCCCCAGGAAATTATACAAATAGGCTTTCTTTTCATGCCACTAGTATTTTTTGAGCACATGATACATGTTCGGCTCACTGTTCGGGGTGCTGACAGCTCAGTGGGTTTGTTCTCTGGTGTGGGAACACACACACACACATGCACACACACATACAGTTTCACCTAGGAGGATATTTAGGAAGAGTGGAGCACTACAGTCTAATACACATAAGGTGGTTAGAGAAGGCCTGTGATTTGAACATCAGCTTGCGTGCCCTGAGAGATCACGCCAAGACCGAACTGGAGAGAACATTTTCTTAGGCAAAAGAAACGGCCCGTAGAGAAGGGAGCCTCATGAGATAGAGGGGCATCCAAGGAACGGAGCCAAGGATGAGCGAAGAGGGAGAGGTGAGAGCCAACCAGACCGCCGGGAACTTCTAGGCCATGGTGGACCGCAGCTGGGATTTTACCCAAAGTAGGACAGAAACCCACTGCAGTTTGTGTGGCAGGAATGAAAATGAGGAGACCCATTGTAAGGCCCACTGAGGCTATTGTGAGTGGAGAAGACCACAGGAGTGGATAAAAGCACAGACAGTGGGTGGACTTGCCAGAGACTCCCTGAGAAATGACGGAGGAGCGGAGGTGATGCACAGGCCAAGTCCAGCTGCACATCAGATGGAAAGCGGGCGAGCCCTGCTAGACGGACAGGAAGTGAAGTGTGAAGGACAGAGCAGCTGCAGTTCCGGTTTGAGACCTGAGAGTGGCGCCATTGGGCAAGTGAGGAAGCCTAGGGATGCTGGGCTTCGGCCGGAACACTAGGAAGGAGTTCTCCATCCGGGACAGTTCACGCGGAAGTGCTAGTCCCTACCACAATGGTAATGTCTAGCATGGAGTGGATATACATCTGATCGTCACGGAGACCAGGCTCGGAGAGACCCGTGTGGGTATTAAACGTGGGCTGCGTGAGATGGAGTCACTGTGGATAAATAGCGCGGAGCCCTTCAGTCATTAGGGAGAGGCTCCAGCGAAGACTGTGGAGGTGCTGCCAGTGAGCTACGAGGAGAACCAGGCAAATGGCGTTTCCTGGGTGTCAGGTGATCTAAGTGTTTCGAGAGAAAGGAGAGGAGAGGGATAAGCATTCAGACGAGCAATAGGAAGGCTGAGAATTCTCCACTGGACTTGTATGAAGGTCATTGGTGGGAGAGATTGCAGTATGTTAGGACTTGGTAGGGATGAGCCATTCGCTAAATGAAGGGAAATTCTGACACCCAGAAGGGTCAGAGCGCGGACACCCTAAAGCACAGAAATCTAACTAGGAAGAGCAGCTGTCCAACCTTCTGAGCTGCAGAAGATGGGGAACAAATGGATGATGAAAGTGGTGAAGGGAAGGTGAGGCTTCTCTATTTTCTGAGCAAATGAAGAACTGAGGTGTCAGCTAAGGTGAGGAGGAGTCGGGAGGTGATACTGACTCTTGAGGGGGAAAATAACGGTACTTTTGGAGACGAGGAAAGAAAATCCAACTGGAAAATACAGAAGGATGAGCACATAGCAGAAGGGCTGCTTGCAATCTGCCATCGTGTATTTAGGTTAAAACAAGGCACCGGTCACCTGTTCAGATGCAGGCATTGGGGAGGAGGAAAGCTAGTTGTGCCCAGGCGTGGGGTTCAGCCACATAAGATGTGGAGGAAAGAGGCAAATACATGAGCTACAAAAATCTCTGAAATCAGGACTCCCTGTGGGTAGAAAGTAATAACTTTATATACAGAAGAGGATGTTCGTCTCTACTAAATTAGACCAAAAAGAGTTACAGGTTTTCTTATATCATTACCAAAAACATGAATTCCGTTTTTATGCTTATCTTCTCTATTCACATGACAGTTGTTTCTTTCACATCCTGTCCTTAATCTTTATCATTGTTGCTTGTGTTCCTGGATATAATAAATTCTTTGAACCATACACTTCAGGAATATGTTCTTAGAGTACTCTAGATAACTCCCAGGATATCACAGAGGGCTTGGGAGACTGTGCTGGGCTCATCACCTGTGACAGATTTCGGGGTAATTTACAGCAATGAAAACATGCTGTTGTCTGCAGTTTCCAGCCTCACGAATCCATTCCAGCACCATGAAAGTCTCCCGGGCTTTTCAGAGAGTGTGTCCATGCAGTTGCCCGCCAGCTAAGAAAGCACATTCCTCACCTCCGTCTCCTCAAATGAAATCTCAGACGCCCATGTTGTCGGGCCCTGGGTACCTGACCTGACCCCGAACTATAGCTTCTCACATCTCCCAGCCAGTAGTTCTCCCACTCCCCTTACAAATCTCCAAGTAGGGCTAGGCTTTGTTACCACTTCCAACAACTGCCTTTTGAAGTTCAGGAAACCTTCCATTCTCCTATGAAAAGACACTATTCAATACTCTCACAAACCGTGATTACAAATGTCAAGCTTTCCTTTCATATTTTCCAACTGAAAAACAATTGTTCTCTGACTGCCGATTTCATAATAGCATCAGGCTCTGGCCATGTTATGAAATTCCCCCAGCAGCAACTGACACTGGTTTCCTAAGAAAGACTACACTGGAAAATATGCTCAAAGGTAATAAAAATACCAGGCCCCAGCCAGCTAGTGCTTTGGGTGCCCTTCTTCTCCAGAAGCATTTCTAGTCAGTGATGAGATAGAGGAAATAAGCCTTTGTGACACTGAAGCGAGCTGTTTTCCATGTTATCTTACTTAATCCTTGGTTGAAGGTCCACTGCTAGATTCTTCCCTTTGAAGAAATGGATGGATACTGAGTTTCCAAACATGGTCAGTGGAACTAGCAGCAAGAACCAGAATTTGCACTCAAGTCTTTCTACTTTAATGATTTTGTTTTCTATTTTACCACACTGACTCACCAAGATCTCAGAAGACATATTACTAAGGCTCTGTCCTTGAAATACTACCCCCTTTTGTTTTGCTTAACTGTATCTGTTGATGAAGAATTAGAAATGTTGTTTCTCTCCTTATAGGGGATAAATGGAAAAGATGGCTTACCAGGTGCTCAGGTACGGAAACACCATTTGAAACAAAACTTCTAATACATAATTGCACCCAGATCACTAATATTTAGATTGGTCAGTTTGACACAAGACCTTGGCAAGCAGTGATTTTGGTGTCCCTGTCTGTCTTTCAGGGCCTTGTGGGTAAGCCCGGAGATAGAGGACCCAAAGGAGAACGTGTATGTATATTGCTATTGTCATTGCTTTTCTGGTCTGTTACAAGTGCTTCATCATGGGGGCCACTCAGTTATGTGTGTAGACACCCACACATCTCCAGGAGGGATTTACTACTGAAAAGTAGTCACATATGAGCATTGGAAGACCTGGAAGCAGACCATATGGCAATTACTGCTGGTTGGCCTTTGCTACTCTACTTTGGAAGGGTTTTACCATCTGGCTTCTGACACATAAGCTTACGAAAGCCATCACCCAAATTATTTTTACCTAGGCAGGTGTTTCTCCAGATCAGTGCTGTCAGTCTTTGGGGGCAGATAATTTTTGTGTGTTTGGCCATGCTGTGTATTGCAGAATGCTTAGCAGCATCCCTGTGTCTGCTAGATGCAGTACAACCACCATCCTTCCAAAAGCACCCTCAGACACCACCCATGGCCTCCTGGGAGCAGATCTGCCCCCGTTGGGAGCCACTGACCTAGAGGAATACCAAGGAAGGAAGGTAGTATGAGGCTATGGAGAAATAGCAGAGCTACACACGCCATGAAGTCCATAATGCCAGCTGTTTGGGTTGCTGGAAACTTCCCATTGTTTTAATGAACCCCAATACTTTCTAACAGGACCAGTGTCACACCACTGCTGCAAGTTAGCCAGGTATCATCACTCAGGTTAGTCCTATTTAGGGCTGCTATTGTGTGAAAGTGTGGGTGCATGTTTGTGCACTCAGGTCTAGTTTACCAGCTTTTTATTATTACACAACTAATCCATGGTAACTGAAGGAAATATTGAAATGTAAATTTTAAAAGAAACATATCTGCCTGTCTCTACATGAAAATAGACACTTGATATTTTGGGGCCTAGTTCCCTCTCTCCTTCTTATATGTAACACACACACACACACACACACACACACACACACAATGTATCACTGCAAAGAAATACATATCTAAAAATAGGCCCAAGGTATTTTGTAAATAACTTCATCTAACAACATATAAGAACTATCCTTCTCTGTCAGTAAATATACATCAACATCTACCTTTGAATGGCTATATCTTATTGCACTTCTTGGATAGGCTTTTCTTCGCTGAGTCTCTTCCCAATTTCTATAATAAGTATCACTGTACTGAACATCTTTGTACCTAACAAAAACATTAGGAATTACACTTATTTTGCATATTTATTTGGTATTCAAAGTGTGCTAGGTTTCTGGTTATCTCAGAAAGTTCTCCCAACGTGACCTGGCTTGATTTGCCTATACGCAAACATATTTTTATTATTTTTTAAAAATCAAGACAAATACGGTTTGGCCAGTGACAGAATAATTACAAAATAAAGTAAAACAAAAAAACAAAAACAAACAGGGCACCCTCAAGAACCCTCCAAGCACATTTGGTGTGACTGTCATTTGCAGGTGCTGTGAGACTGAATGTTTGAAATTATGTAATTGAGACACCTGTAATTTCTTTCTCTTTCTCTCTTGACCACTCAGTAGTACACACTTTGCACAATGAGGAAAGCATTGAAGAAACTTCATTATCAGATTCAGGCACATCTAATGTAACTTTATTCGTAATTCTGATATTTTACTCAACAATCTGTTATAGTTCATTTATGATACGAAGTTGTCTGAGTGGCATCCCTCCTCTTCAGTTATGAACTTTTCAAAGGCTCGCCTCGCCTTCCTAAGTTGGACATATTTATGAAACTGAGCAAAAGTCCACACCCACACATGCAAAAGTCAGGGACAGAAGACAAACCCAAACCAAACCATCTCATAAAGACCAGACAAACCAGGAAATTCAGGAAGGAAGGGGAGAAAAAGGTACATGACTTAGGAAAGGCTTCAAGTGCCCTGACATTTTTCTTCAAGAGAAATCTGCGCAATGAGATCATTTTGTCAATTTTCCTTGATTATTGCAAACAAGAGCCAGACCTGAGATGACAGCTGTGTTGACTTTCACAAGTGTCATCGTTCAAACTGGCAACAAAGTGTGACTTAGTGTTGATATCGTTGATCTAGAGCACTAATGACAAACCTTTTAGAGCCAAGTGCCTAAACTGCAGCCCAAAACCCACTTACTTATCACAAAGTGCCAACACGGCAATTGAACCTAAATACTGAGGAGAAAACCACCGTTATTGGTGCTCAGCTGCTGGGGTGACTTGGTTTGCATGAACCACTGACAGAGGGCTTCAAAGGTGCGAGGCATTGACCTCAGCGCCTTCTAGATACTACTGTATTAATATAGAGAGGAAGCTGGAGCAGAGTTTAATTTATTTATCCAACATCCCACTGCAAATAAATGCCAAGTATGAACCCAGAACCTTTGCTCTTAACCACAGCTGATTTTTTTCTAGAAAAGCTCATTGTCTTTTTGCTCCATAACAGGGTGATCAGGGAATCCCAGGAGACAGAGGCCCACAAGGTGAAAGAGGAAAGCCAGGCCTTATGGGCACAAAGGGAGCCATAGGTCCCGTGGGGCCACCAGGAAGCAAGGGCTCTATTGGATCCCCTGGCCATCAAGGCCCCCCAGGCTCCCCAGGCCTCCCTGGTGCTGCGGTAAGTGGTGCTGAGACCTTTAGGGGGTCCGGGCTGGTGCTGCTCCTGGACTCCTTTTATGAAAGGAACAATAATGCTTTTAAAATGCTTGAATGCATATGCTTAAACTAGTCTCTGTTGTTATTTAAAATTGTGTGCCACATCCTCTCTAATCACCTACCATCCATAATCTCATTTCATCTTCACAACCAGCCTGGGAGGACAGGCATTGTTTCAATCCCATTTCTATAAATGCAAAACCAGAGAGGTCACTTGCCCGAGATCAGAGACTTGCTGGGCGGCTTATTACAATACCATCTATAATGTTACGCTACACAGAACCCGGGTAAGTCTGTTTCACACTGAACTCCGTTGTGTTGCTGGTCAGGACGAGAAGTCTGCCCTAGTTGGGTTTCAAAGTAGAGACCGCATAGGCCAAGAAAGTGTGTTTAAAGAAACCAAGATCTGTGAATGGCCTCAGGAGGAATAGCGGGTAGCCATTCCACAGTGGGTCTCAATCTGAAAACGTCTGTGACAGGAGTAAAGGAGGGTCCTGGAGTGATGAGGAGAATTAAAGACATGCTTTCATCAGCCTGATGCCGGATACAGGCCAAACTGTACAGTGTAGGAGGACTAAAGGGAGGTCCAACAATCTATGTACTTCTTTATTTTTACCCAGTCTCCCTCAACTCTACCTTAATAAAGCCTATAGTATACCACATACAATGAAAAATAATGGGGCATTCCTACAGTCTTCACACAGTACTTCTTTCTTTGGACCCAATCTCCCCAGCCTCTACTTAAAATAAGGCCTGTGTCATACAAACTGTTGGCTGTGTGTCAGTAATTAGTACTAAATACATTAATTCAAATTCATTTGTCGCACACAGTGAAAATGGTGAAATCAAACATTCCCTTTTCCTTTTTGTTAAGAGGCATGAGAAGGGGCTTATTAGACTTTTAGAGCACACATAAGAGTAAAGGGAAGGCATTCAGAGAAACGAGATGCATTACAGTTCAGAACTAGGGATGTTGATACTTTGGAGCAGGTAGAAAACCAAACAGGCATGTTTGGAACCATTCTGTCCCACTGCAATCACTGTATCAGCCTGTCACATTGTCTTTTGTTCCAAGTGAGTTATTGGTATAGATGAACCAGTACCGTAAGATTAGGAAAACCCACCGCAATATAATAATCACATGCCCAGCCACAGAGTGGAAACAGGATGGAGGAAGTTGTGCTGGAAAATACCAAGACAAGGACTTTTATAAATTAAGGCTCCTTGTCTACTTGTGGAGGACAGTGAGCCATGACCGAGACTGAAAATCATACAGCACGGTGATTCCCACAGAGCTTGTGTGTTAACCACTTTTCCATCGCCAGGAGAAAATACTGCAAGTTGGCTCGTGGTTTCAGAGGGTTTGGTCCACAGTGTCTGGCTGCAAGGCATAAATGCCACGGCAAAAGGGCATGCAGAAGAAAGCTGTGGAATTAATGGCAGCCAGGAAGCAGAGAGAGAGAGAGGAGGAGGAGCCAGGACAAGACTGCACTCTTCCGGGTCCTGCTGTCAGTGAGCCCTGTCTTTAACCAGTCCCCACCTGCTAACAGCACGCTCAGCTGTGAACTCCGAGTCGATCCCCTCATGAGTTTAGCGCTTCCATGACCCAGTCACCTTCCAAAAGCCCGGCCTCTTCAATACGAGATTCTGGAGGGACAGTTTAGATCTAAACCATCACAACTCTGAAGTCTCATCTAACAGATACGGGTACAGTCGTTGTTCACGTACACATCTCAAAGCAGAGGACTGCAATGGAGGCAAAGCCCTGTCACAACCTCTGTATTATATTCTAGGGGGCATATTGATCCCCACACATATACCTAGGTAATAACTAAAAAGAAATAAATAGAATAACTTTAAAATCCTAACCTTTTGAAAATATCAAGGTATGTGAGTAGTTTCTCTGATGTGAAAAGCTGTAATAGTACATGAGATCCTAATGAGATAACTGACCATGTGAAATAGGAAGAAAAGGGCTAAAGGTGTAGAGAAAGTGGGAAGGGTAGAGGAAAGGGAATAAGGGAAAAGAAAACAATAGGAGAAAATGAAAAAATGGAAATAAAGTGTTTGTAAGTGGGGAGGGGAGGAGGGGGTGAAGGGAGGGCAGGGACAAGGGCAAAAAGTGAGAACCAAGACCTGTCATGTAAAGGTACAGGATCCCAATAATGAATGTAACTGTACTGTATACCTAAAACATACCGATAAACTCAATAAAAGAAAAAAAAATATCAAGGTATGATAGTAAAACATTATAAATGTTAGATTTTTGCAAATGTATACAGATTAACATGTTATCAGTTACATTGATGTCATTCATGTACTTTGTTTTACTGGCTCTCACAGGCATTTTTCTATAAAGTAAATTGTTGCTTGGTATATCTATGATTACAATATGTAAATTATACAATAAAGTTTGCAACAAAATGGGCAGAATTTGTAAGTTTTATTCCAAGAATAAAACATCTTAAGGAATAACAGCATAATCACTCAGTTACCTCAGAGGTTTCCTTCGTTTGAGGATAAACATCAGGGACTTTGCCAATGTCACCGGCTTAGCTGTAAGTTAAGCTTGTGATCAGGATATTGTCATCGTGAAAACACTGAGTTCTTTAATGTTATAAACTGAAGCAACATGAACGGTTGTTTAAAACTGTATGAAGCCATGTCTCTCCATTAATAGGAAATATGTTAACATCAGACTAGAATTCCATCTCTCAGCTTTTTCTCCTTATTTGACCAAAAGATATTTATTGCCCGAGTCAATTTCCAAAAGCATTGCTGGATAGATGCGTCACTGCCCAAGTTCCAAGTATGCACGCCAGCCCCCTACGTCTATTCTCTATTCGTGCAAGCTGTGTTCCTCTATAACAGACTGTTCTCCTTCCTTCTTTAGGCTGATGCAGTTTCATTTGAAGAAATAAAGAAGTACATTAATCAAGAGGTCCTAAGGATTTTTGAAGGTTAGGTTTGCTTTATAACGTTTTCAATTTTTTCTGATCCCAGTCTCTCACCCACTGTGCAACCCCTCGACAACTTTCTTGAAAAGTCACTGAGCAGCAACCTGTTTTATGACAAGGCAGCTGTATGACAGAAATTCTTCCTTCCATTAAGTTAAATTTGCCTCCCTGAAACTTTCACTCATCAACCCAGGTTTGTAAATCAGTAGAGGAAAATATCTTCTACTTATTTGACATTCTTCCAGCATTTTTCAGTATTTATCATACTCTGTCTTATGTTTCTATTCTTTGGAGTGAGAGGGTCTAGCTTGGTGATGGCAAACCTCTTAGAGACAAGGGCCCAAAATGCAACCCAAGACCCACTTATTTATAGTAAAATGTCAACCATGCATTTAAACCTGAATACTGAGGTTTTAGTTTAGAGGAAAAAACCAATTCATACATTAACATCTTGTGTCTTAACACAAAAATAGCAAGCACGCCATAGGTCTAGCTCCACTGCTGGTCTAGCTCCTCCCCCAGCTGCTTTTTGGGAAACGCTTCCTTTATAAATAGTCTTCATCCACCCATAAGTATTGTGAACAAAGCAGATCACAGTGTCCTTTTAACTAGGGTCAGCCAACTGGTCTACCAGCCATCCCACTTGCCATCTATTTGTATATGGTCTCAACTATGACTGATCTTGACATGTTTATACTTTGTTTTCATATTTTCAAGGGGTTTTTTTAAAATCAAAAGATCTCATGACATGGAAAAATGACCTAAAATTCAAGTCTGTGTGTGTCAAGATCGTTAGCCATTTTCATTCCCATATTTCCTCCAGCTGCTTTTACAATACAGTGGTAGAATCAAAACATTATGCCAGAGATTGCACGGCCAGCAAAGACTATATATCATGTGGCCTGTAGAGGATAATTTTGTGGTTCCTACTCTAGATACTTCAACAATTCAGCTGAAAATGGTCTTTCTTTCCCTGCTGTCCCCAAGCAGTTGGTGTCATACTCTCAATTTATTTTGAACTTTTATTTAACAACTCTATACTTTCCTCCTTCAGACTTTTTAAACTTAAGCATTTCTCATTACGGACTGTGTATTTAATTTGAAAATCTGACTATGTTATTTGTTTGTTCTTTATAAATTTCAAGGGATTTATGTTCATTCATTGTTCCAACTTCAAGATATTTTTTAGAATAGTTCTGTAGGGCAAGTTGGCTGTCATAATTTTGTATCATCTCTAAATTTTATAAGCATTATTATCATTCTGGTTGTTGATAGAATGTTAAACTAAAAAGTCAAGAGTGAGGGATTAGACTTTCTAGATGACATTGGATTCCTTCTGTCCACTTATCAATTAGTCTATTGTTTAGTGAACTTTAGTTATCCCAAAATCCCCTGTACATTTGTCTATTCACAAAAATATCACATTTTTTTCAAATAATTTGCTAAAAGTCAAGATCATTTTCCTCAACTATAAGACTAATACAGTTGAAATTATTTGTCTTTAGCAAATAAACCTACAGTGGCTCTCATGGTTTCTATTTCCTTTGCTAAGCATCCTCAACCAAAAATACATTATTGAGTTTTGTAAGGAAAAAGATGACAGTATACCCCAAGTCTATCTTGACTCTTGCCAGCTCCAACATGGAACCAAGGCTAGCCAAGAAGCCCTTCTTTATGAGAATTAGTGTTAGTGACTGGAATCTCATTGTTTAGATACATTATTATCTTGTTTCACATGAGCACTGGAGCAGCAACTTCCATCTGCTTCAGTAACAGAAAAAGAGGCTTATGAGATTGTGAATCCATGCTGCAGACTTAGATATACTTTGATCTTTACTAAGCATCTTTACTTTGCTCTGAAGGTAATTTTTCACCTTTTTTGAGCTACCTACTAGTTTTTGCTTTGTGATTTTAATGTTGCATTTCAATTTAGAAGTCTTTTATTTTCATTTTGTGATGTTTGAATCAAGCATGGACTAGGCTGTAAATTTGACAGTGCAAACATTCATTCCCTCAACAAGCATCCCTCAAATATCAATTTTCTAGAAAGAAAAAAGTCAATACATTTCAGAGCTCTCAAGCTCTGCAGAAAACAGAAGACTTATATAGGCAGCTGCCAAATTGGCAAGTCTCAATGCGAAACAAAGATGTTAAATTATTAAGTTTAAGACAGGGTGCGGGCAAGATGGCTGAACAAAAGTACCCAGCACTCACCCAGCTCTCCACAGAAGCAGCCAAAGCTACAGGTGTGTATATGTGTGTGTGCATACACACACACACACACACACACACACACACACATATCTGGATAGAGACATGAGGCAGTACAAGAGAACATTGGGATTCAATAGCAGAGAAACAGAAACCTGGTAAAAATTCAGAGACCTGGGACATCTGCACAGCAAGAGAAAAAAAAACTGTCCTATCACTCGCCACCCAAGGAGTCTCCCCTCCACAAGAGTAAAGATGACAGAGTCCCAGGAAACTCCACAGGAAAAGTTTGCAGCTCATGCAGGCTTACAGTCGAAATACAGAAGAGGCCTGAAATCTGCAGAGCCATCTGGCACTGGGAAAGGAATGCACTTCATTTCCCATCAAAAGCCCTGGAAGCTGGAGCCAGGAGCCATCCTGTGAGGGAATCTGTTTCCTGAGCAGGCAGTTACAGGGCCTGGGAGCTCCCACACTCGCCTCTCTGGGACCTCGCAGATGTTTCACTGCACCTGCTCCGCTGCCAGATGTGGCAGAGAGAACGAACGACTGACAGACCCTTCTGAGTGCCAGTTAGTGAGGAACAGGTGCTGTGACATGAGGAGGCATCGGCAGAACGGGAGGGGCTGCCCTGAGTCCGGGGTGAGGGCCAGTCACACGCAGCATTTCACGGGGACTGGTGGCCTGCGTGGCTCCTACCACACCTCTTCTAGTACCACACACAGGCACTAACTAGGCAGAGAAACAACTCGGAGTTCCCGCAGAGGCATGACGGGGCAGTTTCCAGCAGGGCTGAGGTCCCAGAGGTACAAAGCCTAAGAAGGTGCAAAGAGAAATTTTGCCCGGCAAGGGCCCTCTCCTGGTCTCCCCACCCCTGTGAGCACCTTAGCTGAGCAAGTGTGCCTTGGATCCGCCACAGCTTGATCCCTGGTGAGCACCACAAATGAAAACGTGGGGAGAAAAGCACCAGCCTTCTCCCTGCCCTTGGGGTGTGCAACCTAAATAGTCCAGAGAAAAACTGCCCGGCACCAGCTGCGTTCTGCTCTGCCTCTCTCCTGTAACTCCACAGCCAGGTGGAACTTTGGATCCAGCTGTGACCCATTCCCATTTGGTCCCTGGCGCGCACTGCACATGAAAGAAGTGGGGAGATGAATAGCTGGCGTGGGGGACTCCGAGGTCGTGATCCAGCGTGGACATTCCTGCAGCACTGCCGAGGAGTAACGCCCTGGCACCGACACTGTCACCTGCACATCTCGTCCGATCATGCACTAAATGTCCCAGAGGAGCGCTGTGATTCCTGCCCCTGCCTATCCCAAGCATGTGAGGCCCTGACCACTACTGGAATAGCCAAGAACAGAGACCTGTGCAAGTAACAGAGCCAGTATCAACAGTGCCCAAGGAGACTGCCATCATCTGATAGGGGCAACCACTCCCACGGTATGAGGAACCTCTCTCCTATCTACCACCCCTGCTTGAACTGCTAGAACATCACTAACAGGATCCTGCAGAACATCTCACTGATTCCAGTACTGTATGCACTGTGCCCAAACTCACTAATCACAGCCAAAAGATAGCAGGGAGACTACACTGTGGTATTCAGCTGGAAATAAACTCAGCGCTGCATAACTGATTTCCCAAGACATCTTCAGGAGAAACCCACTTTCTGAGGAGGCCAGCCTGTAAAAATGGGACATATCCATTTTACCAGATATACAAATCTCAGAAAATGAATAGAATATGAAAAAACAAGGGGATACAACACATTCTAAAGTTCTTAACTCTGCAGTAACAGATTCCAAAGATAATCAGAGAGGATGAGGTGCCTGATAAATAATGCAAAAGAATGTTTTTATTTTAATTCAAGAAAATACAGATAGTCAAATGAAATTAAGAAGACAATGCAGCATATGAGAAATTCGGCAAAGAGATTTTGAAAGAGAACCAATCAGAAATCTTGAAAATGAAGAGAGCTCCATAAGATAAAAATGCAGTCAAAAGCTTCAGCCAAAGACCAACACAAGTGCAAAAAAAAAGAATATTGGAACTTGGAGAAGTCTTTTGAAATATTACAGAAAATGAATGAAGAGGATCAAAAATCTGAATCATTGGCATAGCCAAAGGGGAAGAAATAAAAAGTTAAGGGCATAGGAACCTATTCAATAAACAATGGCAGAAAACTTCCCAAGTTTTGGGAAAGACATATACATTCAAATACAGGAGGCCTACAGAAACAAAAAGATATAACTAGTAGATCCTCACTCTGAAACACATAGTCAAGTTGTCAAAAGTACAGGGTAAAGAAAGAATTTAAATCTGTAAGAGAAAATCACCAAGTCACATTTAAGGGAAACTCCATTAGACTAAGAGCAGATAGCTTCACAAAAACCCTGAAGGCCAGGAGAACAAGGAATGCTTTATTTTAAAACCTGCAGGAAAATAACTTCCAATCAATATTATTCTACCCAGAAGGACATCTTTCATAATAAAAATGCGAAATAGCAAAAAAAACTAAGGGAATTCACGACCACTAAGCCTGCTTTACCAAAAAAAAGTCTAAGGAAGTCCTATATCCAAAAATGGAAGAGAACTTATAATAAATGTCAAAGTATAAATCCCACTGGAGGACAGTTATACAAATGGGAAATAGAAAAAAAATCAAGCAGTATCAATACAGTAAACCACCAAACCACAGTGGTAAACAAGGTTTGAACAAAAAACATTCATAACCAAAGAAAAAAAATCACAACAAATAAAAACAAACACACTCATAACCTTCCGTTAACTTTAAAATCCCA